ATTTATTTTCACTAGCCTACAATTAACTTCGTTGTTGTGCCAATAAGGTAGGTTGTATACATATACATCAATTATGATACACGCACTATGCCCTGATTTTGCTTAATTAACCCTTGTTTTTTCATACCATAAAAATAACAATAATTATTAATAATTAATGAAAAATGAAATCACGAATCAATAAAAATTACTTCATGTATTAATAAAAGGCAAAAGCTAACGAACGCTCCGCAAGCTTTTTTTAAGATACTTAAAAATTGAAATATCAAATTAAAATAAATATAAATTGCACTAATTGACGCGTGATTTTGACATGCATTTGAGAACCCAATAATATCACTTTAATTAGGAAATATTTAAAATGCTTATTCAATGTCCCGATAATAGATTGCATTAGTTTACATCTTTCATTATGTTTGTTAGTTTGTTACATACACTCATTTTTTTTTTCCAATCTTAAAATTAAAGATAAAATTAAATATAAGGTTATTATTGTGTCTATAGATTTAATGAGTGCGACGGGTAAATAAAACATGTATATATTAGATTGATTGTAGCTACTGACGCGGATGGTATGATAAGAAAATTTTAGTTTTTTCTCAACGGGAGATATAAATAAATTAGTCCACTTCTTATATAGCTATGTGGAGTATTATTCAATTATTTTTCAATTAATAAAATAACATTATAAAAAATTAAAAGAAATTCAAATAACATAAAATACTATTCAAATAACGTTCCTTTAATTTTTTTTTATTGACCATTAGTAACCAAGTCCTTTAATAGTAAATGAATTACCTTTGTTTTTATTTTTATTTTTCCTATGGGGTTTAATAATTTGATTTATAAACCGTGCATCACACGGGCACTATGCTAGTTTATTACTATGTGTCATGTCATCTCAAACTAAATATCTAACCTTTGCATAAGAGATTATATTATGAGAGTTTAATCCTTGTCACGTAAAAATCCCTCCACAATACGTTGTAAAGCTTTGAAACCTAATCTTGTTAGTTGTACTCAGATCATTAAAGAAGTTGATCTATTGAAAAATTGATTGTTTACCCTATAATAAAGAAATTTACGAGTGATAATCGAGCGAGCTGAGCCAAGACCAAACTCGAACTGTTTAAGCTAGGCTCAATAGACTTTCCAATCTTGAGATGATTTAATTACAAGCTAAGCTTTGCTAAGTTGAAAATTTCAAGCATGCATTATTGGTATGGTTTTGAAACCGAACACTTATCCTATTTTACAACTCAAGCTTCTCACAAACATTATTTAGAATATTACCCTTAGAGTATGTTTACGAGACTTTTGAGCCAAGATTTAATATATGGGCTCTTGAAGATTTCGAATCGAGCTCAAATATTTCAGAATTACTTTGAGCATGTTTATTAGATTTTCGAGCCAAGATTTGATGTATGGGATCATGAAATTTCGAATCAAGCTCAAATATTTCACGAATTAGCTAAGCTCATACATTAACACGTAGAGATTAGAGCAAGCATTTGTAACTTAGTCAAAATGATCGGAAAAAGACATGTCGGGTAATGGATTAATGGTTAAAAAAAGGGAGCCAAGAGGGGTCCTATATCATGTGCAAACCTTTGACAAATCCAATATATTAAGTAAAGTGGGGGGCATTAGACAAACTACAAAATCAAGGAAAAACCAAAATAATAAAGGCTGTAAAGTGTAACAAAAAATCTAACATATCATCTTTTTTTTAACTAATCTAGTAGGAGTAGAATTTTTCTTTTTCTTATTTTTGTTTATATTTTAGTTTTATTTTTGTCTTAAAAAAAAAAAAAAAAAAAAGCAAAAGCATGGGGCAAGTATTTACATGCATTACAGAAATCATTATCCCACTAGCGATCAATCATGCTATCCATATTCCAATCTATGAATCTCCTCAACTTTCTTCCAATCAAAACAGTCGCATCCTTGGATTCATCATTCATCCCAAACTTCAATTATTATTGTTTATATATACTCTCTCTCTAGTCTCTACAATCTATATATTGTCACTAGTATTAATCCATGAAGAATATGGTCGTGTAACAACAAAAATAAAGGGGTCACACAATATTGTGCCGTCTTTTCATCACTTCCACATAAAATGCCTATAAATTACTGTATGCCCGAAAGTTTAGTATTGAGGACCCGTTTAATAGCCAGTAAATTATGATCGTGATAGTAATGAATTTTAAATGGTACCCCGTAATAAAACAACCTATAACAATCTCGCTCCATGGAACACAATCTCATCCTTCAAACTTGTGTTTTCTTTATAATTTTTGCTTTACCATCCATTACTACTTGAGAGGTGATTCTAGGTGAAAACGGAAAGAAATTATGAAAAATAGACAATTTGGGGAAAAACAATTTGGGGTCTTCTTGAGTGATAAGGTGAATAAACATTGATATTTTGTTTCAAATTTACTTTTAAATTCATTCATATTACCGTAATTTATTACTAGTTGCCAATGTTATGGTAATGGATATAAGGGATTGTGAGGCAACAATTTGAAAAATACAAATTGAGACTCTTTTTTAAATATTTTACACTATAACATTAGTTTGAAAATAAATAAAGATTTAGAGTCTGTTCTCATTGACTGAACTCAGCTGAACTGAACCGAGCTGAACTGAAATGAATATTTTATAAGAGAAGGAAATTAGGAGCTGAACTGAATTGAACTGAATTGAGCTGAGCTGAACTGACTTGAACTGAACTAAGCTGAGCTGAACTGAACTGAACTGAATTTCAACGTAAGAGAACAGACCCGTAGTTAAAGTTTATACAATACACGTGTATATAGATAGTATAAAAAGTCAAAATAGTTAAACTTATAAAGAAATGACAGAAGATGTGAGTACAAAAACAAAGTGATGGAACAATACAACCTTCTTCAAAACAAAAAAGATGATAATTGTTCACTTATAATTTGAGTATTTTATGGAATTGATGATCATAAAAAGAGAAAAGAATCATATTTAGCAAAATGTAATGTAGGGCATGATAACATCGTATAGAAACAAGTGGAGAAGATGCTAAAAAAACATGAATGATGGATGGGAAGTGAAAAAGAAAGACATGTAATGAAATGAAATTTGAAAAGAATGGTCCTTTAATCATGCCATAAAATTCACGGGCTCCTCAATTTCTAACAGAATGTTTACACATTTTCTATCTATATGCTGAAATTATACTGTTTTGTCATTATGATTGGGGACCAAGAAAAAATTTCCTTACTTATACATAGTATTTCATATGCGTTCTCTTTACTAGCGTCACTCCTCATTTCACGATTGTTATAAATTTTGAAAGTAATGCATGCAATAAGGTGAATCAAACAAGAATTAAAATGACTATTTTTTTTTCCTAACTTATAAAACATCAAACTTAGTTATTTTTTTTTTTTTGAAGACACTTAGTTAATTATTTAAAAATCATTCGCGAAGAGAATATAAATACAGATATACAAATAAAAGTGTTGCAAGTAAAAAAAAAAAAACAAATAAGGTAATTTCATTATTGCTATTATTAATATTGTTATCGTTAATATTATCCTGACTAAAAAACAGAACATCCCTTTATTTTGTTGGTTATCAAAGATATGACGACAAAAAAACCGAAAGAAAACGTAAAAAAATTGATGGATTGTACAGGGAATTTTGATTTTGTTAGCAATAGCATGCATTAAATTTTGCATGCACGGAAGGGTGTCTCCGTCTTCATATACGTACAATCCTACAACCCCAGCTAAGACACTTGTGAGCCCACTCACTCAATTATTTTGTTGATTCATGAATACCTAAAAGATACATATTCTTGAATCACTGAAACTATTATTCTAGTTTCACGGGGTAGAATCAAGTCTGACGATGGTGGAGTCCCATCTTGGTTCGAGTCTCATTATTACGTTTAATACGTCATAGTTGGATATTGTGGTGGATGTTACATACGAAGTATATATTTAGGTAAAAACTTTACATACTTTGTCCATATAATGGGTTTAAATGACTTAGGTCTCATTGTGGACAAGGGTTTTTTTTTTTTTTTTTTTTTTAACCATCTTATTTATTTCGAGGTTAATGTATTACATCTATGTAAGTGTATGATAGTGAAGTTTATAATTTAAATCATACAGTTTCAGTACGTATTTCATACACTTTTCTTATAAAAATTAACGCATAATCTCCAACATTGAATTACCTTTAGATAACAATATATACTCCATATTACCAGGGCCGTAGCAAGGGTATGACGGCTGCCCTGGGCCCCTTGTTAAAAAGCCCAACTTCAATTTACAATACAAGGCCCCAAAAAAATACTACCTCTGTTTCATTTTTTTTGCAACTTTGTAATTTTTTATATCACAAAAAATAGCTAAAATTGCAAAAATAAAATAAAGCGGAGGTAGTACTTCTTACTAAATAGTATTACTTATATATACATTTGAAAAAAAAAAAAAACAAAAGAAAGAAAGAAAGCAACAAGTGTGTATTGTACAACACTACAATAGTAGTGTAGAGTTCCAAAATATCAAATGGCATATTTGGTCAACGTATTTCTTCCCTAATTTTTTTGCCCAAATTATTCACTTAACCAAGTGAATTTAATTAACAAAAAAAAAATGTCATTACTTTTAATTGTACCCCCGTTTTTGGTAATTTTATTTTTCAAAATGTATCTCATTACAATTTTCAGTTAGTTAAATTTCTTCTCTTTCGCGATTCAGTTGAAGATGAAAACTATAATAAACGGTCCTTTTACTTTTCAATTTTCAACTGAAATTTATCTAATTATATATAATTCTTCTTGCATACCCTACATTTTTTTTGAACGGTGCATACACGACTTTATTCATCAAAATCTCTTCTTTGTATTAAATTATATTTTTCTTAACCTGTATAACTACTTTCATTCAAATATTACAAAATTTGAGGAAAAAAAATCTAATTGATTGGTTGAATACTTAGTTTGAATAGTTCGGCTGGTGTAAAACGAGAGTTACGGGAATGTAATTTCAATGTTTTATGAAATTTGATGTTTTTAAAGATTATTAACCATAATAAAATATGCATTTTCATTTTGCATACCTATTTTTTTAAAATTTTATATAGTATACATGAATTAGGGCCCCGATTTAAGTTTTTGCCCCAGGCCACCGAAATCTAAGAAACGGGCCTGCATATTACCACAAAAAATGGAAACGAATTTTGGAAAATTATTTCAGGAATTTTACCCTACACCCTAGTGTAGGGTGTGTTGCCTACACCCCCCCTATGCTACGTCGTTTTGTAGCTGGTATTGAGTTCTCATGTGCAGCTTCTTTCCTTTTGCGATTCTTTCCTTTTTTTTTTCCTTTTTTTCTTTTTTTCTTTTCTTCCTCTTTTTTCCTTTTTTCTTTGTTTCTTATTATTCAATTTATGTATATATATGATTTTAAACCCTATTTTTTCTCTCTCTTCAATTGATCAACCTCCATTTTTGATCTACATTTTTCTCTCGCTACTTCATCTTCTTCATTTGATTTTTTGAACGAACTCGTTAATTGTTACCGATCATCAATGGCGAATTCTGCATCTGGAGATTGCGTTGATTTTGATCGTGATTGCGAGCGTGTGTTTCCTTCTGGACTTCGTTTGGTTGATTCGTTTGTGCAACAATGTGAGTAATTGTGATCATAATTTTGCAATTTTTAATTATCTCTAATTTGTTCTGTTATAATGCTCTGTTAATTTGAACTTAATTGATGTATTATTATTCACTTTCGATTTTTGAATTTACTACTTTGATTACATTATGATGAACGTTTTTGGATTGTTATACTTTGTATGAACATTTTGTTGCTTCATTTGTTGTTTCATTTGTTGTTTTCTCTGTGTTTTAGAATTGTGTGTTTTTGTCGTATATTTTGTAGATTATACTTTCAATTAATCGTTTTTGTTTTCTTATTCATACTTACTAATGTGTTTATGTTCAGTCTTAAAGTCATTTTTGATCATTTATTTTTACATTTTTATATCGATATTATGTGTAGTGGTAAATAATGAAAATATTGTTCAAAACATTATGTGCTGAAATTCTTTTTGCAATTGATCATGTGCTGTTTTGATATTGAACATTTTACTTATTTTTTATTGTTCATTCATGAAACTCTTTATGATCATTTATAATTGTATATTGTGCAGTGGAAAAAAATGATGATATTATGTATTTAGAAGCAGAACAGTCTGAATTAAAGGATAAAGAATTTAAATCTGAAGATGAAGCTTTCGAAGCGTATAATGAATATGCTTTTAGGAAAGGTTTTGGAATTCGAATTGGGAAGAGTAAGAGAAGAAGAGATGATTCTTTTTTGATGAAAAGATTTGTTTGTTGTAATGAGGGATTCAAAGATAATAAGTGTAAGAATAAAAGGATTTATGAGAAGTTGGATCATCGAACTGGTTGTTTAGCTTTTGTGCAGTTTCATATTGATCATTTAGGGGTCTATACATGTACAAGACATGAAATGGTTCATAATCATGCTATGATTCCTCCTGAAAAAAGGCATTTGATAAGGTCTCAAAGAGATGTGAATAAAGAGCAGCTTCTTTTCATTTCAACAATGAAATTGAGTGGAGTCAAAGTTACTGATTCTTTGAGGGTTCTAAAGAAGGAGGTTGGGGGATCTCCTAATCTTTGTTTTACTGCTTCTGATGCTTATAATGCATTGTCATCTGAAAAAGCTGCCCAAATTGAAGGATGTGATAGTAACCAATTGATTAAATATTTTGCCAAGAGACATGTGGATGAGGCAGATTTTTATTATGATTTTGAACAAGATGATAGTGGTGCTTTAGTTAGTTTTTTTTTTGGCGTGATGGTAGGATGATGAGAGATTATCATTACTTTGGAGATTTGTTGGTTTTTGATACAACTTATAGAACTAATAAATATGGAATGATATGTGCTCCATTTGTTGGGATTAACCATCATGGTAACAATGTCATGTTTGGTATGGGTTTTATTATTAATGAGCGCACCGAGTCTTTTGATTGGTTGTTTGATACATTTTTGCACTCAATGGGGAGGAAAAGTCCCATTACAATTATGACTGATCAAGCACAAGCGATTGCAGCGGGTATAAGAAACATTTTTCCTTCAACTGTTCATCATCGTTTATGTGTATGGCATCTTGAACAAAATTCTAAGAAACACATTGGAGCATTGAGAGCTTTGGAAGGCTTTACAGATTTGTTTGGATATCTTTTGAAGTATTGTGAAACTCCTGCTGAATTTGAATATTTCTGGAAAAGGTAAATTATTGTTTTTTGTATTTATTTTTTATATTTATTATGTGATATATTTGATTATTATGTGATATATATATGAACATTTAGTGTTTTACATATGATCATACAATTTACTTTGTTATGTATGTTATCATAATATTATTAGTGTCCATATTGTTTATGATCATTATTCTTTATACAAATGTACATATTTTAATTTATATTTTGTTCATTTTTAAATTAATATATGATCATTTTTGTTATACAGGATGTGTGATAAATACAAATGTGAAAATGATGATTGGTTATGTGATTTGTATAAAATAAAGGAAATGTGGTGTCCTGCTTATTCTAAGAAGTATTGGTCTGGTGGTATATTGTCTTCTCAACGTAGTGAAACTGCTAATAAGTCAGTTTCACAACGTCTTAATAAGACTCAAGGTTTATGTGATTTTTATCATGTTTTTCTTGATGTCATTTCTGAGTGGAGAAGTAAGGAAGGTGCAAGAGATTACAATACTCTGAGGGGTAATAGGCACCTAGATTTTGCTAATATTGGTATATTAGTTCATGCAAGATCATTGTACACTATTCAAGCTTATGTGCTTTTTGAAGAGGAGTTCATTAGGGGGACAGCTTATGATCATGTTGATAATGGTTTGCGTTTTCCAGAATATTCATATCTTCTTTGGAGGCCTGGGAAGGATATAATTAAGCATGAAGTTGTTTTTAATAAGGAAACACATGCAATTTGTTGCACATGCATGTACTTTAGTGAGACTGGTTTACTTTGTTCTCATTCTATTCGAGTATATCATTTGCATTGTGTGCGTAATATTCCACAAGAGTATATAATGAAACGATGGACAAAGGCTGCCATGTGTAGTCATGGTATTGAAGAACCTACTTTGAGGACAAATGTTGTGGCTACTAGTGTTTGGAGGTCACAAACAATCAGAAAGTTTGTTAAGTTGATAACAAGTTGTCAGAATTCTTTGAATGCAAGGGCAGAGGTTGAGTGTTATTTCAATCTGTTAAAAGAAAAGGTTGACAGTGTATCAGGTGTAATTGACTTTAGTGAACCTGTTAAAGAGGTTGAAATTGTTGATCTTGAGATCAAGAATCCTCCAAAAGCTAGGCCTAAAGGTGAGAGGAATGTAAGGCCTAAGAGTACCTTGGAGAAGCAGTGTAACAAGGCAAAGGGTAATTTCAAGAGGAAAAAGTCTCTGTACACTCCTTACAAAAGGGGTATAGGGCAAGCAGTTGTACAAGTATATGATCATTTCATATTTTCAAATTGATCATTTCAGTTTTCGTAAATGATCATTTATGTTTTTTTTAAAAAAATAGGAACTTGATGAGAACGGTTGTGCTGTTACTTATGCTAATTCTATTAGTGATCCCATTAAATTGATTGTTTTGAGCAATAAACGGGCTCAGGTAAATTCAAATGTGCCAAAAAAACATTTTATTTATATTTTATTAATATTGATTTTTATAATTTAAAAATATAGATCGGCTTAAAATCAGCTGTTGTAGAAGAAATTCCTTCTAGTTCTAAGGAATCAAATCATAGTATTTCCAATGATTTTGATCAGGTATGTTTGTTTATTATTGATTATAAATTTATTTTATTTTTTGGCATTTATGATCTATATTATAATTTTTTTTTATTTAATTTTTAATTTTTTATATTTTTTTTTGGTTTTTTTGTAGGCTACTGGTGAAAGCTCTCTTTCATCTATCATATCTATTGATGTTGATATTTCATCTATTGCTAAGGTTTTTTTTCCATATTTGTTTGTATAAGTGTTTGTAACTGATCATATACTGGTTTATTAATGATCAATTTAATTTTTTTTAAAGGCGAAGGATTTAAATCTTGAAGGTGTTTCTGCTGTTCAACCTCGTTCTAATGTTGGTGCAAATAAAGGTGCTTCTGGTGTTAAAACTTACTCTCAAATTAATCCAAGAGTTCCAATTCATACTAGTGCGTCAACAAAATCTCCGGTTGTTATTCAACCTACTGTTCCCAGGAATGTTCAAAATCAAACTCAGAATTGTTCAAACACCAATCCAGAAATGATCATATCCAACTCCAGGAATGTTCAATCAACAAATGTTCAAGTTATTTCTCCTACGATTCAAATAAATGATCAAGGATTTTGTGTTCAGAATGTTCAAGTTACTCCTCCCACAGTCAAAGAAATGATCAAGGTGCTCGTGTTCCAATTCTTCAATCAAGAAATGTTCAATTATGTTCTAAAAAGATTTCTTCTAAGTATGATAGGTTGTTAGCCTTTTTTGATACAAGTGTAGCTAAACGTTTGGCTAATAAAGATAAATAATTAGTATTCCAGAACTTTATAAACATTAGACTTTTTTGTAATGTTGATTTAATTACTATTTTGTAATTTTGAATTTTCGATCTATTATGTAAAAGACATAAATATTATATTTTATATAGTACTATTTTTAGTATATTTGAACTTTATATTAAAATTTTATATGTTTTTAAAATTATACATTTATCAATGATTATTTAGTCATTAGAATTTTATATGTTTTAAAATTCTACATTTATCAATGATTATTTAGTCATTTGTATATGAACAAAAGTAAGAACCAACATCCAATTTATAAAACTTATAAAAAACTTTCATTCAAAGATTAAAATGAAATATCAATTACAATAATATTAAAATAAAATATAAAAAACTTTCATTCAAAGATTAAAATGAAATATCAATTACAATAATATTAAAATAAAATCCATAAGTCTATTTCTTAAAAAAAAAAAATAGTCATATATAAGAAATGAACATATACATAGTTGTAAATGAACATTTGAAACTACAAAGTTGCAAATTTTCTAGCTTTCCTTCTATTTGCTCTTGATTCAATGTTTTCTTCAAATAACATCAGTTCTGCTGTGTATTGGAGCCTTAGATTTCTAATTTGTTCCACCTGTTGAACAAAATGAATTGTCAAATTTTAATTAAACAATCTTTACTGTTTCATAAATGAATATTATATCTTAAATAATTGATCATTTATAACTCTTACATTGTTTGGTTTTAAATCACAAATCCAGCTCTCATTAGGATCAGCAGTGAAGGTTTCCATATGCTTCATAATGTAAACTCCACAGTTTGTATAGTCATTGTTGCTACGCCATTTCATCTTTTCCAAAACAACTGTGTAGTCTTCAATTCTTTTTGCATCTTGATATCCAAGGTGTTTCATGTACTCTGCCAATCCTTTTAACTGATAGAAAAAAGAGTAAAAATTGTTTAGAAGTTTGTATTGTGATGAAGACATGAACAATTAATAAAATATAATTGATCATGTAGCCAACTATAAATGAACATATTATCTCACCATCATTTTTGGTTGTTCTTCATATTTTGCTTGGACTGATACCTTTTTTGGTAGTTTTCTATTGTCAATTATATGAATTTTGTCTTCTATATGATTGACGCACAACAGAAAAAAATGTTGAGAAGTTGATAATGGGAAGAAGACCTGAACAAATTATATAATGTTATTGGACAATATATTGAATGTAATTGAACATTTGTATTAAACAAGAATTAATACCTGTTTATATCCAACAATGCTGTCAATTTTATTCAACTTCAGTTCATTGTCAATTCTTTCTATGAAGGCATTAATTCTTGTCTTCATTGATGATCCTTCTCGACAAACTCTATTTGTGCACATAATGTGTTGTTGAAATAGAAACAAACATATAGAAGTTAAATTAATTTTTAGCAATTATTTATCATAGGAAAATAGAATCAATAATATAAAAAAAGAAGAAAGACTAACATGAAGCACTGTTGAGAAATAAATCTTGTTTCTCGGCTTTTTATGATTAAGAAACCTTGCCCATCCATCTATGACACAATTTGTCACTTCAACATCATCTCCAAGAGTTTTCATTTCATTTCTATTGATGAGATTCAAGCCATCATAGTATAAGAGTGCACTGCATTATGAACATTTAATAATATGAATGTGAACATATTTTTATAAAAGATATTAAACCTTAAGTTTAATTAGTGTAAGTAATTACCTTTCATCTTTTCCACCAAGAACAAAGTCTACTGCAATTTGGTTCATGGCTTTCTCATCTTTAAACAGATCCTTGTACTTGACCAAGTAAGGAGATCAGAAAGCAGGAGGAATTGTTTGCTTTTTGCGTTTTGGTCTTGTTGTTCAATATAAAATATTGTTAAATTAAGAAAATTATGAGGAACATAAATGAACATTCGAGTGTATATAAATAAATTTGAAATTATACCTTTCAACCTTTTCCTTTTCAGTTTTTTTCTTCTTTTCTGCAATTGACTTTTTCTTATCATCATTCCTGGTCATATTACATAACACAAATGTACATTTAGGTATATGAAAATGTTCATTATTATTTTTGAACATTTACTTAATATAAATAATGTACCTTTTTGTGACTTTTGAGGATGAAGCAACAGTCTTCTTGTTTTCACTGAAAAGTCAAACAATGTCAGTACATATTAATAAAATATAAGCTTCTTATGTAACACCCTGAATCATTTTCAATTCATAAAATGAAAGATATTGATTTAACATAAACCACACATTCATATTACATATTCAACAAAATAATGTTCACACATACAATAGTTTGAGAAACTCCAGTTTCAAGTTACAACACGATAGTAACATAAGTTAAATTTTTCCATCTAGATATTTTATCCTTACTAATTACATAACCCTAATAGTAAGACATGTCTTCAGGATTTTACCCCTCCACTTTTTCATCATTTTTTGTTTTTTCAAAAACATCTTCCTTGTTTTGTTTTCCACCTCCAACTGTGTTTTTTGGATCATCACTTTTTTCACCACCATCTGACCTAGGGTCAGCATCAACCACTGAACCAGATCCTGCATCTAAGAAAAAATTTAATTAGATATAATATTATTTCTTTGTAAATGAACATTTGAGTATTTATAATTGAACATTATACCTGTTCTAGGCAATCCTTCATTATCTGACCTAGTGTCAGCATCAAATTTTGAACCAGTTGTTGCGTCTAACAAAAAAATACAATTAATAATGAATATTTCTTGTTTGTAAATGAACATTTTACACTTTTTAATTGAACATTATACCAGTTCTAGAAAATTCTTCAATTCTTTGTTCTGAAGCCGCTGAAGTTTTACCCACATCCTTTTCTCCAGCTGTATTATAAATCATCATTTTGGAGATACACTAAGTTAATAGTATTTACACATAATAATTAGAAATGAACATTTCTAATTAAGTTTATGTACATTATTATTAAATATATGAACATATTACCATTTGTTGAAATTATTGGTTGTTCAATTATATCACCAAGTGTTGAAGAGGTGGGCCCTGTTTCTGTTTAGGACAATTTAGACCACAAATTTAGAATTTTTCATATAAAAATTAGGATATATAGTCTCTTTTAGTTAGAATTTACCAATGGCTGGAGAAGGTGGAGTCAACCCCAAGCTGAAAGCTTTTCTGATGTCATATTCTTGTTCTTTTTCCTTTCCCTTTTTGGTTAATTTCTTCCCAGTCATTTGCTTCTCAGTTGTTTGCTTTTCAGACCCTTGCATCAGATTCTTCTCAGCTTGTGCAAGTGCATTTAGGAAATCCTCACTGCCAAAGAATTCTTCATCTTGGCTTAGAATTGATGGTTCCCTAGCTGCCACCTTTCCTAAAACTTCATCAACTTTTTTCACCAAGTCATTTCCAGGGAAGATATCCTTTGCCTTCACCAATTTTGAAGAAAGCTTTGACAGGTTTGAACAAGTTGTTTTTACCAGGGAAACAAAATCATCCATAAAAACCTATATGAATGAATATTAAAAATTATGCAGTTAAACATTTCAGATTATACAAATGAACATTTATGTTAACAAAAGTGATCATTTTATAACCTTAGGACTTTCTTCAACTTCTACAGCAATCCTTGGTAGAATTTTCCCTCTCCCAAATCCCAATTCTAATTCAATCTTCAACCTCTCAAGAACCATGTCTCTATTCCATGCAGATATGATAGGAATTGTTCTTGGAGGCCTTTTGTCTAACCTCTGAACTCTATCAAAATAGAACAACTACAAGAAAAAAGAAAACATGGAACAGAACATAAACAATAAAAAAAGTGCATTTATTTAAATTTAAATGAACATTTTGTATCTAAGAATATACCATCAGAAATTGAAGAGGGCCTTTGTAGAACCCCTTGCCTTGCTGCTTTCTCCAATCAACATGACATTTGATAAGTGAGTCATATACAAACTGACACCAGTTCAAATTTTTTATGTTTTCTTTTTCCATCATAGAATAAAGAAATTTGAAATGGCATTGATTGTTTGATACACATTTCATCAAGCAGTTCACACCCACTGCTAAAAAGTTAGTAATGAAATGTTCACTTGGTGGTCTGTTGTTGGTGAATTTATCATTTATGTATCCATTCACAATCTGCAAACAAAATGAACAAAACATTTATACTTTTGATCATTTAATGTATTTAAAATGAAAATTTAAAACTGATCATACCTGACTCACTGATGGAGTTTTTCCTGACCATGATTTTCTCCATTTCTTCAAAAATTCTGCATACTCCTCACTAATTTTATCAGACTTTGGCTCAACAACTGGAATTTCTCCTGTAGGCAAGCCATAAACTACCCTAACATCCTCTACCTCAATTTCTATTTTTTCATTCTTTGGTAGTTCAAAACACTGGCTATTTTCTTCAAAACTTCCCAATAACCAGTTACAGAACTTTTGATCAAGTTGAGGTAAACTAATGTCAAGAAGTGATCCTAACCCTATATCAACAACTTGTTGTTTTTGGGTAGGTGTCATCTTTTTTATCCATGCAATGAACTTCACATGTCCTCCTCTCTTTGAAGATTTCTCTTCCTCAAATTCATCTTCCTGAATTTCCTCAACTTCATCAGTTTCTATTGCTTGAACCATTTCAGTTTTCATTTTCTTTTTTCTCCTACCTTCAATATTTCCTTCATCATATAGTACCATCTTTTTCTCCTCCTTTTCAACCTTTTCCTTCACTGAATTCCCTTTCTTTGCCTGTTTCTTCCTTGGCTTTACTTCTTCCTCTTCCTCCTCTTCCTCCACCTCATAATCATCCTCACTGACAGGCTCTGCTTCTGCTCTATAAACTGACTCTTCACTATCATCATCACTGTCAGTAGAACTTTCATCAGTAAGATCTTGAGAGGGTTCATCTGATGGTACTTCTTGTATTTTTTTTCTCTTTCCAGCATTTCTCTTGGCAGGACTGACATCTGAAAATTAAATATATAATTTTGTTTAAGTATTGAAAATGTACAGTAAGCAAATGATAAAATGAACAAAATTGTTTTCTCAAATGATCATTCTATATATAGAAATTGAACATTTATAATATATCATTATATACCTGCTTTTCTTTTGCCAGCAACCTTAGAAGTTTTCTTCACTTCTTCTGGAGTTTTCTTTTTCCCACCTATATATTGAAATTGAACATTAATGATATACCATCATAAATGATCATTCTATACATTAAGATTGAACATTTACCCTTTTTGCCTTGGTCTGGAGGATATTCAGCAGGAGCACCTGCCATTTTTTTTATTGGAGTAGGTGCTGGAGGTGGTGCATCAGCTTCCTTTTGAATAGGAAAAGTCCTTGTAGACATTCTTCTCTTCTGTCCTATTTTTGCGGTTTCTTTAGCAGGTTCAACATCCTTCTTCAGGCTTCCCTTTTTAGATTCATCTAACAGAACATCTATTGTTTTTAAAAAAATTTATGTTAGTATATTTGAAAGTGTAATATTTATTGTGTAATAGAAAAGTATTATGATTACCTTGGTTCCTTGTAATTCTACCACTTGGCACAACAACAAGGCTTTTGTTTTTGTTTTTCCTTGCAACCATTTTGTATCTTGTTTTCATTTTGGTTGACTGATCACTTTTTTGTGATGATGGAGCTGTCTCCTCACTAAGTTTTGTGGAAACTTTATCATCATCTTGATCTAGAAGATAAGTTTCATCCTCAATTTGAACAAAATCAGGTGCAATTTGTGCTGCATATGAAATGATCAAATATAAAAGATTAAATAAACATTTATTTAAATTGGATGACAAATGTTTACTATATACAATATAAATGAACATTTCAGATAATGAATATGTACATTTTCCACTATTTACCTTTTGGATCTGTTGTCTTTGTAGACTCATCTTCCACTGTTTTCTCTTTAGGGATTTTCTCCTTTTCAGGCTCTTTTTTTCCCTCTTGTCCTTCTATGAAAAATTAATTAGTTAATATTTATATATTTTTTTAATCTTATTGAACATTCAATATTATGTAGATCCAATATGAACATTTTATGTAATAAAAATGTACATTTATAAATTTTTACCTTCTACATTTGTTGTCTTTGGAAAGACATCTTTCACAGTTTTGTCTTTAGGGCTTTTCTCTTTTTCAGTCCCTTTTTTTCCTTCTTGTCCTTCTATTAAAATTTATTTAGTTAAAATTTAATTTTTTTAATCTTATTGAATATTTAATATTATGCTTTTCCAATATGAACATTTTTTTGTAATAAAAATGTACATTTTAAAATTTTTACCTTTTTCCACAGTTTTCTCTTCTATTGGCCCTTTTTCTTTCTTTTTTGCTTCACCTTCAAAAGTAATACTATTGTTTAAATTGATATTTATGACTATTAAACAAAAATATTCAATAAATATGATCATTTACCTTTCCTGATTTCCTTGCTTGCCTTTTCCATTCTTTTGAGATTTCTCATAATTCTGATTGTCGATTCTTTGTACTTCCTGTAAATGTATGATATTGTTTTATAACTTTGAAATATATTCATTAATTGATTAAATTAATTCAATTATTTAAATTTAAACATACTTTGGGTTTCTCTCTATGTCTAAATGTATTTCTTGCATCTTGTCCTTTAATGTTGTTATTCTTGAATCATCTTTGGGTTTTCTGATATTTCATTAAAAATATGTTTGAATTTACAATTTTGATTAGTAAATAAAAAAATGAACATATAACTTATATTACTATTGGCCATGAGCAAACTTTTTTGTACTGATTTTCAAATGAACATATAGTCTATCTAAATTGAACATTTAAGTTTTCTTACTTTTGGCCAAGACTATTCTTTACTGGATTGCTTTGCACTTTTGGTTGAACTTCTTCTTGCTTGCTGAAATCAATATTAAGAAATACTTTAAATAAAAAATGCACATAAATTGTACACAAAATATACTGTTATAAAAATGAACATTTGTTTATATAAAATTGATCATTAGTATACCTTTCATCCCTACTCTCTTTTTCAGTTGTGTTATGTGTAGCAGACACACTCTTAGTTGTTGCATTAGTAGCAGGAATGTTCTCACTTTGTTCACTTAAAAAAAACAGAATTATTTTATATAATATGATATTAAAGTATGAACTAATTTATACAATGAAGAAGATAATTAGTTATTTTGGTATAAAGCTTTTATACCTTATTGTTTGATTTGTCTCTGGTGGTCTTGATTTTGACATAACAAATTTCACTCGAACCTTTTTTTTCACTAAAATATTAAGAATCACCTAATAAGTTTGGTATATATATACAATGTACAATAATTGAATGTAAAAACAATTATTTTATACATATAAACTTACTTGTTTAAAGTGTATCTTTCATAACTATTACCATATTCATTTTGTTCTATAACCTTCTTTAGAGTTAATGGTTCAGATTTCCCATCTCTAAATTGAAGCAAGTGTATCACTCTAAATGGCACATCACTACATTATAAATTAATTACATGACATTAGTTTGAATGCATATCACTGAAATGATTATTATCATATTTATATATGTGCATGATGATTTAATGAAATGTATATTTGTTATTTAAATCTCAATGAATACTCAAATGAACAAATATACATATATGATCATAATTATATCTATAAATGAACATTATGAGTATCAAATATGATCATATACAATGATGTTTCAATGAAATGTACTTTTGTTTTTAAATCTCAATAAATACTCATATGAACAAATATAAATATATGATCATAACTATATCTATAAATGAACATTATGAGTATCAAATATGATCATATACAAATAACATATTAAACAAAGATAAAACCAATTTTTATCAAATACAACTAGCATATTAGACATGAACATAATATATTCTGTAAATGACTAATTACCTTGGTAGTGGAGACATTGTTAAATCCGTACCAATTGACTTGTCAATATATTTTAAAAGTTCCGGATCTACAATTGGATCATTTTGGCGGTTTTTTTTCAATTTGTCTACTCTTGACCGAAGAGCTACATCATCATCATCGTCTCTGTTTTATTTAATAAATTGTTAATGTTTTAGTTATTTTCAGTAAAATCTTAGAACAATTACTACAATCGCAAAATTTTTTAACAAAAATTAGGTTTTACAAATAAATTCGCTCTATAATTTTCATCGCAAGAATATGAACAAATTAGGTTTTACAAAAGTTAGGGTTCATACATTTCTTTAGAAATTTTCAACAAATTACTCGTCTCTGAAGTATTCTTCTCCAAAATCATACTACAATTGCAAAAAATTGAACAAAAATTAGGTTTCACACATAAAATCGCACTATAATTGTCATCGAAAGAAAATGAACAAAATTACTTACTCTTTAGATACATTTTGCTCCGATTTTGCAGTTTCTTCTTGCATGTTCTTCTCTGTAGTGGTTTTTTGCAAAATCGCACTACAATCGCAACAAAATGAACAAAATTAAGGTTTCACACATAAAATTGCACTACAATCTCAAAAAATGAACAAAACTAACGAAATTACTTACTCTTTTTGTTGTGATTGTTTAATTTCTTCTCGAATATCAGACATTTGAAGCAATTTTGGAGTATGATTTTGTTGTGATTCGTTGGGTTTGATGAGAGAGAAACTCTAAAGAAATGAAGAAGATGGTGTTTAGAGAGAGAGAATGATTTGAAATTGATTTTTTTTTTTTTATATTTTTTTTATGTATATATATATCTGGGGTAGGGGAAGTTAGTTACTGCGGTTATTGTGTGGAGTGGGTAATTATTGTGGGTTAGTGGAGGGGGTGTGGGTAGTAACTCTAAACTCTGCGTTTAGAGGGAGTGTAGGTTGGGCTACCTACACTAGGGTCTAGTGTATACCAATTAAAATTATTTGGGGGTTTGGAACATTTTCTATATTACACAGTTTAACTTTTAATCCAATAATCTATAATGATCCAAATTCCACAGGACCGTCTTCTAGTAAAGACAAATTGGGCCTCGGTTGCGTACTAGGCAGGTTGTCTTTTGCTTTAATTACTTTTATAAATTTTTAACTAATCTTTTTCTTTCCTTCTTTTAAAGTTCTGTTCAATGTTCACTTAATAAACGTATTTAACAATCCTACTATGAGTATGTACTATAAGTATGTAACTCTGAGCACTTCTATAAAAAGGATATCAATCACTTAGTTTTCTTAAAACAATCTCTGATTTTTATGGAGAGTTATATTCTAACCCTTTTTTTTTTTTTTTTTTTTTTTTTTTGTGCTCAGAGAACCATTAAGGTATGATAAGAACTGATCCTAGATCCCTTAAAATCGAGAAAAAGCTCTAACCACCTGAGTTATCCCCTCATTCTCAAGTGTCTCAACTCTAACCTTTAAAACCTATTGATTCTTGAAGTGGGCCAGGGTGAGTGGGTGACTAGTAGAAAGGAGCAAATGAGAGTAGAAACTTAACCCAAAAAAAAAGACAATTTGATAATTGTTTAAATAAGTATAAGAGATTAAGAGTACAAATATTATTATAATTTGTAATTTTGTACTAGTGCTATCCAACCTTGTTCATGAACCTCTTAGCCTTATTATATGCATACTTCAAGTAGTCCTTAAACCTAATCAAATCTAATTCAACATTTTGCTCCTTCAAATAAACCTTACCTAAATCGGCCCACCAATTTTTGTTAGAGGACATTGGATTTGTAAGAACCGGGTCAGATTTGTTGTATCTATTTACCAAGCTGCTCTCCTCAACCCTTATTTTGTACTCCAAATATGTCAAACCCATTTCCTTAGCGGGTTTTCCGAAACACATTTCTGCAACCCCATCGATCCCTATGGGTACAACTTGAATGAAAACCGAACCCGGCCGTAGAAGCAAGAAATGGGTCAAGGCCGCCCCATGGACCCCCACCATTACATGACTCTCATTTATAAGCCTTTGAGCCTCAAACAATGTATTCTCGGGCTTGGGCTCAAATACTATCACATTGAAGCCCATGTTCTCCGCCATGGTCTTCATTTCAACTTGGTTTAAGATCACCCGGCCCACCCCACCGGATCGACTAAGCAAGACCAATTTGGGCCTAGTCATCGGAATTGTAAAATCAGATTGTTGGGCTTTTCCATAGGCCTTATTTAGAAAATAATGAAAATCGAGAATAGTTGTCGGTTTGGGCATTAATCTTGGTTTGATAGTCATGAACCCATGTGAGACAAGGCCCAATGAAACAGACTTAAAACAATGTGTTATAGTCTCATTATCAAGATTAATAATTGGGTAGTTGCTAAATGCACCAAGGAGATCACTATACTTACTAACCCACCAATCACGAGACTTCTCAATCACAAGGACAACATCATGATTGGACAAAGACATCGATCGGACAGTGATGAAGAGGGGAACAAATCCGTCATTAAAATCATGGAAAAAGTTTCCTGTGTATCCTCCTGCACTGAATACTACTGCTGAAGTGTTGTGTATAACGTTGCATTTTGGGCCTTTTGGGCCAGAAATTAAGGTTACCTCCTTTATTTTAGACATTGTAAGGTTCTCCCATTTTCTTGGGTAAGGCCTTATTTTCTGCTTAAATTTTCTTGGGCTAGTTGGCCCAATAGCATAGAAAGTGGAGGAAATTGGGTCCAAAACATTTGGACCGTTGATTGAACAAAGATCATAATGATAGTGAGACCGGTCACAGCTGATTTGTGATTCAACTTGAAGGAAGGAATGTTGTGGGTCCCTTTCAGTTGGCTTCTCACTTCTAAGACTTTGATCTACATAAAAAGAGTGTTACAATACTAATAATGCTTTAGATGCTAGTCTCTTGATCCAAAAATATTCTAATAATAAAAAATGGGTTTGATAAACACAACATTTATCCGCTAAATCTATGTTTTAAATTTATTTTTTATCACATGGTATTTATGTAAAGTTGTGTGTAATAATTTTTGAGCCACGTTCGATTTTTTTTCAAATTATTGATAATTGAAATATAGAAGTTTTTAGAGATATATATAACACAATATTCAATTATAATAATAATCTTTAAAAAAAATCTTACAAATAATATTCAAAAGTTTAAACTAACACATGTAATGGAGGTAATATTATTTTTTATAATTTGACTTAGAGTTTTATGATGTGCATTAGAATTTTACTCTCAAAGCCCCCAAAATAGGCCAAAATGAATAGTCTAATTTTACTTGAATAGAAATTGACTTTACTCAAAATATTATATGACTAAAATTGACCTATTATTTATACTCCTAAAGTCGTAAAACCTTCATTAGCAACAAATATGATTTAGACCGGACCTACCTAATGCCAAATTAAGTAAAGTATAGTAATATTACGACATGAATCAAGTTGATTCAAACCAAGCAATTGTTTTGTTACGTGCTTAGGTCACCTGAACTCTAAAATCATGTGTAACAACTTCAGTTTTAAGTTGAACCAAAAGTTTAGAAAATATGTAAGAAGTGTTACAAACAATCTTTTTTTAAAAAAAAAAAACAAAAAACAAAAATCATTTATTACATTGCACAAAAAAGGGGAAGAAATAAAAGAAGGGAATCCATAGCAAAGGAAAGAAATCAAGTGCATACCTTGATTTCTTGGAAATGAAGGCGAATTCAATACGGAAGAGACGTGATTGAATCGGGAAGAAGAGTCGGCATTGAAAAAGTAAAGCACGGAGAATAGGCTAAATGATAGAACCATCGTGAAAGGAATCAACGTTGCATTGCATGAACCAGATGAAAATCGCTTCTTCATCATATCAATTGATGATGAATCAATAAGCTTAATTAGCCTGCGAACGTGATTAAGCTAGCGTTTTCGACAAGTAAAATGTACCAAACCGCTAATCGCTGATGAATTTCGCTATAATTTGCGGATTCGGAGAATGAACAACTGAGGTTTTGAAATTGGGGAGGGGTTTTTAAAATGTTGAGCGTCTCGGGGTTCCTAATTTCTACGATTATAGGAGGTAATTGGTTATAACTTACAAGGAGTATTAAGGAGTACTTACAATAAACTTGTAACGTTTCCTTTTACTAGTATAAAATTTTATAATAAGTTCAAAGCTTCAAGCATAATATGAATTTAGATGATATAGGAAGTATATAGTTTCAAACAAATTTAGATGTACCGAATAATGGTTAATCCCTGTTATTTATATAGAAATTTTACCCGATTTTTTATCCTTTCATCTCCTTCCACTAATTGTCCTTAGTAAATGAAGTTCAAATCTTGATTTTTATGAAAAATCAAATTTGGTTCATCCTATCTATTTATATAACTAAAATAAATTTATATAGTTGTCATCTGTCAATATCAAAACTTACATACTGTATTATTGTGAACTAATCTATCACACTATCGATACCATTAGTCCATTACAACTCTCTCTTCCTGAATAACACTCATGAGATTGAACCTTACATTTTACTAAAAAAAAAACTACAAAACAGTTGTTATTATGTCTTACTACTACAAAAAGTATATAGGAGCTTCTTTTCAGGCCCTCTGAAAGTCTGGTTGATTCGTGACAGACCTAACCCAAGCCCACTTATGATCCTTGATATTGACCACATTCCTTGTCACAGCCACCTCCTTCACCGGAATGTAAGCATAACATCCGTTCACTCGACCGGCAACAAATCCTGTATACCCTGCCATGGCTCCATGAATCGCCGAGTGTGCTAGCAGTGTGCAATACATGTTATCAGTTGCATTTGCTGGGACCGCGCGCACCATATATGTCGGATCTATATATTTAACAGTAACCAGTTCCCCCGGATGATCTCTTTTCCACCAATTATTAAGTTCCAACTTAAGCCACACCCCCACATCTTTGAACACAGGGTTACCAGACTCATCTCGCTGCTGCTCCTCCTCGGTTCTAGGTATCAGCTCCTGTCCTGCACCCTCGGCCACGACGACAACCGCATGCTTGTTTTCTTTCAACCGCCTTTCTAGGAACTCGAATAGTCCACCCTTTCCTTCTAAGAAGAAGTCATTTTCAGGGATTAAGCAGCAGTCCACATCGCGGCTGCTCAAGGTTGCGTGCAGCGCGATGTGGCCCGTGCTTCGTCCCATCAGCTTGACTAACCCAATGCCATTAACCGCGCTCTCGGCCTCTACATGGGCCGCGTTGATTGCTTGCTGAGCGGTTTCCACTGCCGTTTGGAACCCGAATGATTGGTCGATGATTCCGACGTCGTTGTCCACTGTTTTTGGTATTCCGACCACCACTACATTGAGTTTCCGGTGGCAAATCTCCTCGTATATCTTGACTGCGCCACGCATGGTGCCATCTCCTCCAATGATGTACACGTGGTTAAACCCGTGATGTTGAATAGAATCAACAATTCTGTAAATTAAATAATAAAGTAATGCATAGACATAAGTACGGTGTAAGCCTTAATTTAGTTCACATCTAAGTTTTTAGGCTTTTGTAAGAATGATAAATCATCACAATGGTTAGTATAAATTATATTATGTAAGACAATCGATTGTACCATGTAACACAATCGATTATACCATGAACACGTACAAGATAAAATGGAAAATATTGAGATACAGAATATCATCATAATAGTTAGTATAAATTAACACAGTGGATTGTACCATAAACACGTACAAGATAAATTAGAAAATATTGAGATACAGAATAAAATACATGGTGATGTAATCGGTTGTACCATGCACACGAGATGAAAGTAAAATTATATGAAGGTACAACCGATTGTAAATAAAATAAAAGAACAGACTATAAAGATCAAAACCGGCCCCTAATAGCTTCTAAGGCGGTGCCACCTTGCTTTTATGATACAGCCAATTATAACATGCAAATACAGAGTAAATAGAAAAACTATGGTTAATAAGGAGCTGAGTAAATGGTAATAATAATGATGCAACCAATTGGAACAATAAAAATTGTAATAGTTGTTTGTGAATATTACCTACAAAGATCGAAACCGCCCCTAGAAGTTTCTAGAGCGGTGCCACCCTGCTTATGCCAATTATGAACCATCTTTGAAGTAAGAAGAACAGGGTCACATGAATAAAACCCCCTGTACCCAGAACATATACCGAATACCTGATGGACGCCATAAAAGTCCGATAAGCCAACAACAAGCTCCCGGATGACAGTATTAAGTCCGGGACATAGACCTCCACATGTAACTATAGCGGCCTTGACATCATCAGGGTCGAAGTAGACCACCTTGGAAGGCCCTGCGCGGTGGTATGCTAGGCCGTAGCCGTGTTGGTTGGTGTCGGAGAGGTCGTACAAGATCTGTTTGAGGAGGATGTCTGTGGATGGGGAGATGTAAAAGCCTTGAGTAGGGTGGTAGTTTGGGCTGTTTTGAAGTGGGTTAGTGACTGTTTTAAGTTGGGAAATTGGTATGTAATCTCTTAGATGAGGTACTTTCTTCAGTTTTATTCCGGATAATGATAGTTTTTCCAATGAAATTATTTCCTCATTCTCTCCGCCTACATCTTTCTTCTTATCCTCTGCCATTTTTCTTTTCTCAAAATTACTAGTAAAGTTTTTGTGTTTCCTATTTATCTGGAAATGGATTTTAGCGGTGCGGCTAATAGAGCATTAAAGTATGTACATGCGTAACTTAAGTCTTCATTAAGATTATTTATTAAGGAGTAACTATATTATGAAAATTGTCAAAAATAAAACACAAGTACTCCTTTTTGTAATACTAGTATGACTTTAGACTTGGAACTTATTTTAAGTCAAAGAAAATATGCTTTAGACTTTAAACTTATTTTTTTTTTTTTATAAAGTGAAGATAACACACCCTAAATTATACTTTTAGCTATCAAATTATGTTAGGATGATTACTTGATTAGTTTTAAGAACGAATGTACCTGAGTTAGGGTCTGTTCTCTTCGACTTAATTTTAGTTTAGTTTAGCTCTAATAAGTTAAGTTTATTTCATTTCCTAATTTCCTTCTCTCATAAACAATTCATTTCATCTCTATTCAGCTCAGTTCAGTAAATCATAACATGCCCTTATTGTAATTTGTAAATTATAGAATTAGAATAAGGTAGGCATTAAAACTTCGTAGAGATATATTTGTGTTTATACGTGCACTTCTTATGACATAAGTGGGTAGACCGTAAACATGGTCGGGACTGAAGCATGCCAAACTACCAACCCATGCATGTGCTCACAACTAGTTTAGCATATTTTTAACAAAAAAATGAGAGAGTGAGGGATAGATCAAGTGGTTAGAGCTTCTCTCCCAATTCTAGGAGGTCCAAGGATCGATTCTCATCCCGCCCGTGTGGCTCTCTAAACACCAAAAAAACGAACCCTTGAATATTACTTGGTCTAATCGCACATTTTCTTTTATACTCCCGAAAAACCAGACATGGTATGATCCATGACACTCAAAAGTTTATATACTGCAATATTAATTGATGACCCTATCGTTTGAACTCCCTCAACAATCAAGTTTGGATTCACCCCTACATAATCTGAACTATAGTCATCAAGATTATAATGGGATCATTAGAGTAACCCTACTTAGCCTATTGTAAAAAAATTTGCGCTTATTAAAGAGTAACTAATTGTACTGTATAAAATAATAATCCTAAAAGAATTTCTCACTTTTTTTTACAGTAAATACCTTGACATAACTTAATGTTTCTAAATTATACGAAGTACTCGGTATGTAGTATCAGTTAATTTATCCAAGTACTCTAATACTAACCTTTCAACACTGAAATATGTTGCAAATTCTGACTTGCCAAAATTCATTAGGCTTTCTTTTTTGCATTAATAAAACAAAAATTGTAGTAATTAAAAATATGGAAGAAGGGCCTTTTCTGATAGACTGAAATCAGCTGAACTGAACTGAAATGAACTGAGCTAAACTGAACTGAATTGAACTGAACTGAATATTTTATAAGAGAAGGAAATTAGGAGCTGAACTGAATTGAACTGAGCTGAGTTAAACTGAACAAACTGAACTGAAAATAAATGTATGAGAACAGACCCGAAGTAGCGATTAACTTATGATGATATTGATAGTGCATGTGAAGAATGGACAAGCAAGTGTATTGTGAAAGTGGCATGGGGTTAAAATGCAAACACATGTAAGTTGTTGGGGAGAGAAAGGAGGAGGAAACAAGTGGAATATAGAAGGTGATAATACCCAAAAATAACTAATACTAGTACAACAACATTGCATGAATGTTAGAGCAAATCACATGCTACTCATTTACATGCTAATTACATCCCCCTTTTTCTGTTAAATTAGATGTTGTGTAACTGCCGAATCTCTTCTTTCTTGTCGGTTTTCACCTTTGGACATTTTCCACAACTCACGCCACTTCTTAAGTTGATTAGATTTGTTAAATTGAGTAATTAATCTACATTTATATTAAGGGTTTGTTCATATTTACTGAATTGAACTGAACTGATTGAAGCTGAATTGAACTGAACTGATTGAAGCTGAATTGAACTGAACTGAACTGATTGGAGCTGAACTGAACTGAACTAAGCTGAAATGAATATTTTATGAGAGAGGGAAATTAAGAGCTGAACTGAACTGAACTGATTGGAGCTGAACTGAACTGAACTGAACTGTTTGGAGCTGAACTGAACTGAACTGAACTGAAAATAAGTAAATATGAACAGGCCCTAAGTCTTACTACTCTTATACAAGTACTAATTAATCTTTTGCCTTTCAATTTTACTCCGACACTTTAATCAGTTTAATAATATGATTACTAGAAACTCATTCCAGCAATGAATCTTAATGTATCTCTATCAACAAGGATTGTAAAAGTAGTATCTTACCAAGCTATTAGCTTGTAATAATTTAAGAGACTTAGCTTGTGGGATATTAATGTACTAGTTTCAAGCTAAGGCTATGTACTCGTAATTAATATGGTTTAACCAGGCATAGTCAATTAGTCATATCCAATCGAGTGTACATAAAACATGAAAATTAAGGATAATTAGGTTTGATAAATTAAGTTAATGTGAAGAACATACCCTAACTTAGATCAACCCTTGTAGGCTAAAGTGTTAAACCTTTTTCTTCTAAAAAGGGGAAAAGGATAGATATAAAAGAAAAAACCTTTAATTTACAATATAGTTTTAACATGCTTCTCATCTAACTATCAAAAATATTAGTTTCCTATTATTTTGCATTCAATATAAATTAAAACAACTCTACATTTTTAGATTTTTTTTTATTAACTTTTGAATTCTTATACATTTATTAATTATACTGAACCTCAAACTTATGACACTAGACTTACAAGGTGAGTTTTCCACCATTTTCAACTTAACTTGGGCTTTTATGGAAGAGCTCCCACTATATTACGAGAATTAGGATCTGTTCTCCTACGTTGAAATTCAGTTCAGTTTAGTTTAGCTCCTAATTTCCTTCTCTTATAAAATATTCATTTCAATTCAGTTCACTTTAGTTCAGCTCAGTTCAGTCAATGAAAACAGACCCTTATATCTACAAGAAATGAGATGTAAAGTGTACTCTTACAATAAAAATGTTCGTGCATTATGCATACAACCTAACATGTAATCAAGTTCAATACAAAAGAGAGAGAGAGAAAAAAAAAAAAAAAAACTCACACAACAAAAGAAAGTGATGGATAGAACTGTCACTATTAATATAATAAAAATCAACCACCTAACACACCCCAAAGTAAAGCACCAAAAGTGGACCCAATTTCTACTTATTATGACTATAATAACTCTTAAGTAAGTTTGATACTTAAGCACAACTCTACTCTTTTCACATCTCCTCTGTTTTCTCCCCTGTTTTTCATCATTTCTCTCTTCAATTTTTTTATTTTTGGAGAATACTCCATTATCAATGCCTTCTCTATTCGTACCTTCAAAGAAAAGCTATTAACATATGATCGTCGAGTCGCCGATCAGCTATATAATCATCCATATCATCTCCAAAGCTAGAAGTTTAACTAGTTTGTACATATATAGACAACATTGCATACTAATTTTCATCAGGTAATGTATAATGTTTTTTCTGCACATTTATCTGTCTGTAGTTTTTATTGATTCGTGCATGTTATTTAATAAAGCATAATAATATACAAGTATTTTCTCAAAAAAAAAAAAATATACAAGTATGGTAACTTTTATACATTGCAAAGTAGGCACCGACAAGTAGGGGAGGAGTAAGAATGAAGTTAAAGGAAGAGAGATTATGCAGGATTGTTATCTTATTCTTTGCATTCCAAATATGTTTCATGTTCATCATCAGAACTTCTAGCCCTCTTCAAGGTAACTACTTGCTTGTATTACTATATCCAAGTTCGAAATTAATTGTCACATTGATAATGTTAATGTTATAGTGTAACAAATCTGTTGTCCAAATCGTTAACCTGATCATGTCCTGATGTCCATCTCCCCTGTTTGTGTGTATTTACTTACTTCGATATCTATTTCTTTTGTGCGTGGAAGTTGGGGGGTTAATCGGGTTACTATTTAAATATTTCATCCGTTTTGATAAAATCACAACACTTTTTGGTTAAAAATATGAGAGCTTTTTAATCAAAGCGTAAGCAATTTTTTTGGAAAATGAGAAAATACAAATATTGGGTCATTTTCGTCGAACTTCCATTCTTGATTCTTCTACAAGTCTTTTTTGTTGGAGCAAATTTAGAAAACGTCGGCACCTTTACTTTTTTGGGTTTAATTCAATTTTATTTTAAAAGTTCTTTTAATTAGGGATTTTTCTACGTGGCTAGTCATACCGTTTGGTCGGGGTTACTTGAGTTACTCGGTCAGGATTACTTGAATTGTCTGGGTTACTTGAGTCACTCGGTCAAGGGTTAACCCCAATCCCTGACCAAGTAACCCCTCAAGTAACCTCTAACAGAACTCTTAAGTAACCCCTAAATAAACCTCTCAAGTAACCCTTGAGAGAGTAACCCCTCGAGTAATCCCTAATCAATCCATCAAGTAACCTCTGGCTGAACCCTCATACAATTAACCTCGTGAACTCCAACAAGTAACCCCTGACAGAGTAACTCGAGTAAACCCTAATCGAGTAACCCTTGGCCAAACCCCTTAAGTAACCCCTGATCGAGTAACTCGAGTAACCCTTAACCGAGTAACTCAAGTAACTCTGATCATACAGCGTGGCCTTTTTTAATTCGGCTCACTTTTCCCTTTATCTATTTTAAGGCAACTTTATAGGGGTGGAGGTATCTTATCTTTCTCGCCTTTGTGTCCTCATAGGAGTATAATACATTCTTTGATTTACACCAAGATAATTATGGCCTATTAAGGACACCTATCCTACTAATTAGTAATTACAGCTTTAGGTTGACCTATGTGGAGTTTAGACCCTCTATGTGCAATTCTTCTTACTTAAAATAAATACTCTGTATTACTTTGCGTTTGGAAATATAACTTTGATGCATCTATCAAAAGCAATTTTATTTAGCCACTTTCTGATCTTGCATGCCGCATATTGCTGTTAACTAACAATGTCCTTAGCTTGTACTTTATGCTTTTAAGACTAATTACTTCTTTGTTCCTTTCCAGATCACATAACATGGAGATCAACAAAGGTAATGAGGAGCCTATCATCATTGCCAATATCTAAATTGCCAGTCCAACATGATGCTAGTAAGCTGAGTTCAAAGATTTCATTGTCGTCTAGCCGGCATTTGTCCAGCAATCCAAACCTTATCGAACCATCCATCCATTGTGATCAATCCCATCGACTTTACGATTGGTGTCATCTTAGAAGTCCTACCATATTAGACCCAAAAAGAGCTACATTCTCTAGTAGATCATTGAGTCCCTCAATGAACCCGCCTATAGTCGAAAAAGTCCGCCCTTACCCCCGTAAAACGGACATTAACTCCATGTCTAACATACGTGAAATCACCTTAACCACAAAACTATCACACTCTCCTTGTACAATTGTACACGACACCCCGGCTTTAGTGTTCAGCATTGGTGGCTATACCGGCAATTTCTTCCATGATTTTAACGACGGATTTGTACCACTTTTTATCACTATTAACACCCTATTCCCCGATCAAGAAGTTACCCTAGTCATAACTAATTATACTGAATGGTGGTATGGTAAATATGAGGCCATTCTTCCTCAATTTTCGAGCCGTCCTATAATCAACCTTGACAATCAAACAGTCTCACATTGTTTCCCATCTGTTGTAGCAGGGCTCATTACTCATGGACCCATGACTATTAACCCTAATCTAATGCCTCATCGAAAGAGCTTCATTGATTTCCATGCCTTGCTCGAGGAAGGATATCGAAAATGCCTAGTGTGGCCTCCCCCTAAAATCAAAAGCAAGCCTAGGCTCGTGTTGGTGAGTCGATCAGGGGCAGTTGGACGTGTCATACTAAACCAAGACAATGTTATAAAGGCAGCTCAAGAGGAAGGCTTCGATGTTGTGATATTCGAGCCTTCGGCCTACACTTATCTATGTGATGTTTATAGGTTAATCAATGGTAGTCACGCGATCATGGGAGTACACGGAGCTGCCCTTACGCACTCCCTCTTCCTACAGCCTGGCGCGGCGTTCATCCAAGTGGTTCCCCTAGGAGGCGATTGGTTAGCGAGGACTTACTTTCGGAATTTAGCTAAAGGAATGAAATTAGAGTACATGGAATACAAAGTTCAACCAGAGGAAAGTAGTTTGGTTGAAAAATATGGTAAGGATCATATTATGATTAGAGACCCAAATTCCATAACAAATACAAATTGGTCTGCGTTACATAACATATACTTGAGAAGCCAAGACGTTCGACTCGACATAGGAAGATTCAGGTCATGTTTGAAGATGGCTTATGCTAAGGCCAAGAGATCAATGGAACATCAAGGTTTGCACGTGAAACGTCGGCCTAAAATTAAGAAATTCATTAGGCCTCCGGTGTTTAGTTATACTTATGGTGTTATATAGGTTGGCTAATTTTGGTTACATGTATGTATGTGTTATATGTTATATGTTATATGTTATAACGAAGATAATGATCATAGGTTTAAAGACATAATTCATTTAGTCTTGAATTTGATAAATGACATATATTTTGTAGTGTTGCTAGAAAGTCAGCTGTCGTCTGATTTATAGAGATAAGATTGGGATGTATCACATGCATTTATTGTATGTATATATATATAATAGTTAACCATATGTACTAAACTACTAATGGAATTCTAATTTCAATAGAATGTTGAGAGTTTTTTGGTGATTGTGATTGTGCATAGCTACTTATAGGTAGTATGAGAAATGCAATTCTAGAGCATCTTCAATGGTGGACAACGTGTGTTACGTGTTTATGTTCTTCATCGTACAATATTAGAGCATCTCCTAGGTGGACGACAATGCTCATCATTTGTTTTGATTTATTAATCTCTTTTATTATTTGGTTATTGAGACAAAATTCACATTATATATATTTTAAGTAGCTTGTTATGTCCCCCTCAAAAAAAAAAAAAAAAAAAAAAAAGTAGCTTGTTATGTCATTTATTTTTTAGTTGAGTTTCCCAAGGTTGGCGTGAAACATTGTTGATAGGGGGGCTATAGTTTCAACAATGTTGGAAATACATGGAACTAGGCCAGAGATGGTAATTGAATTTGAGTCCGACTCAAATTTGCCCCCATCTACTATAATAAAATCTGAATTTGAATCTTAAAAAATGAGGTTTGATTCGAAATAAGAGCTGGACTTAGGGTCTGTTCTCATACGATTATTTTCAGTTTAGTTCAGTTCAACTCTAATAAGTTCAGTTCAGTTCCTAATTTCCTTCTCTTACAAAATATTCAGTTCAGTTCAGTTCAGCTGAGTTCAGTCAATGAGAACAGATCCTTAATTGGATATGAACTATCTGAACCGAGTCCGAGATCAATTGTAATGGTGGCTATATTGTGTGTTGTTTTAAGTTTGTTTCTTGGATTGTAATTTGAATATTAGTAGCTTAACTATTTAATGTTGCTTTTATGATGGGATTTTAAAATTTTGTATTATAAGGAATTGTGGATATATGTCTTTACATCTAAAAAAGTAAAGACTTTGCAATTACAATTTTAAAACAAAACAGACTTATTTCTCTAGGGATGCATACAAGGAATAGCTTATTTAATTAAGGGTTGTATATAAGGAGATAAAAATACATGTCATGATGATTTGTGATGATCTCATTTTGTAATGTATACCAATTTAAAAAAAAGATATTTTTTTATTTTGGTGTTTCACCCGATTCACTACTTGTGTTAATACAGATTCGAAAATCAATTCTGGGTGAATAAGTTTCAGTCTCATCCCATTTGTTGTTGCGGGAGGTGAACACACGGTCCTCTTTACCAAGTGCAACCCCAATCATCATTACATCACCAGCCAAATAATACATAGAAAAAGATATTAAATGCTTGCAAAGCATAATCTCTATCATTTATGATAGTTAACTCAATTTAGGCAGTTAAGCATCACACCAACCCCTTTTATTCTAACAATCTCATTCACCAGCTTAGTACTGTCTACTCTGAGTTGTTCGTTTGTGAACATTATATCCATATAAATTTCAGAGATCCCTTAAACACGGCCACAACGAGCTATTTATTCTTCTTCACTCCTTGCTTCCCCTCCGGCTTGCGCGCACGCACTAGCTGGCTTTCTCGGGACGAAATTGCCTTCTCTGTGGATGATCAATTGATCATAAGGTCTGACCGAAAGGTGTATGTATAATTCTGCAACAAATAAATAAAAAAACTCGGTAATTCTCCTCCTACATATGCTACTATGTAATACTTCGTATATCTTACTTGCTTGTATTATACTTGAAGCTACCAAATCCTAACTTTTTTTTATCACTAGCAGATTTATTACCATATATACATTATACATAATTACATCATTTACGTTTTCTTTCCTTCAATTTGCAACATATGTTGACTTTGATTACTACCTCCGTTACAGGTTATGTGCAACGATTAGACATTTTCCCTCTCTGCTTTATGTCAAATCGTTGCACATAACCTGTAACGGAGGTAGTACTTATTTATTAGTATATATTATTGTGGCATTGTAGAATATTTTCCTTTTGAATTTAAAAAAAAAAAAATCTGTTTGATAATTTTGGTTTCAGAATTGTGAATTCATTGGTATAAATGAAGCAAACACGAAGGATAGAGAAACTATGTTTTGCCTTCATGTTAGTTGTTGCCGTCCAAATTTCTCTATTGCTCATATTTAGAATTACCTCACCAACAAACCAAGGTATGTACCAAAATTTACAATGAAAACAATTATTTTTGAAATCGTTGAAATGCAAATATCAAAATAATGCTTTAATGTTGGGCTATGTATTGTATAGTTGTATAGTTGGGCTTTAGGTTAACTTAAGTTGTATTATATATACCCGGTTAATGAGCAATACAAAGCAAGAAAAATCATTTACACAAATTCTGACATTTAATTTTCAAGTCTTCATTTTCACATTTATGTACAAGCAAATGGCATAGAAGATCTTCTTTGTTAGAATAGTGTTCACTATTATGAGATTGAAGTCAATTTACTTTTATTTTGTTTAGAATTTCTAATAAGACTTTGTTTTACTCAACTTTTAATTAAGTGAAGTTCGGATAAAAGTTTACAAAATTGAAGTATTGTCTACAAATATACATCAATAAAGTTTGGAAAAACTTTTGTATACACCCAATTTACACTAATATTAGTGTACATCGAAGTATAAAGGTAACTTTTAGCTAATTTTAAGGTAACTTTTTGCCTTTTTTTTTTGTAACTTTAAATATAATACAATTTTTATATAAATAGACAACAAGAAAAGTTTTATAAAGGAAATTTAATTACATTCTATCCCTAATAATTCATTTTTGGTCATTTAAAATGTAATTTTTTACTAATAAAGCGTAGATAATTTTTATTTGTATTTGGTTACTTTTATGCATATTAGGGTAACTTTTATTCATTTCAGGGATAACTTTTAACTTTTATTTAACGAAAGAGATAATCCGTATAATTTTGCTTCTATTGGTACATTATCCAATATAGTTTCGTATTGTATTCCATAATGAAAAACAAAGTTAGAGTTTGGAGAACATGGACATTAGTTAATTTAGTCACTCTCCTAGGCCAAAAAGCTTGACTAGGAAAGCGAAGCTGGACAATTAATTTGTCAATATACAAAAATTCTTCCGAGAGTTCGCCTTTATTTACTCCTTAATATCCTGACAACTTAATTTAGAAAATGAATCTGACATACGGCACAGCTCAATTGGTGTGTCGTTTACAATGTGGAAAAGTTCGTGATTGCAGTGTGCACAACATCTCTAATCTCAATTCCAATATATAATGTGTGCATATAATGTGCCATGTGCGCAAGTGACTAATTATAACGTGGCAGCTTATTAAATCATTAATTATTTAGGGTTGACAATTCGGGTGATCGGATTGAGTCTAGTTTATTTCATGATAAGTCAGGTTAGTTCGGATCATAGTTACCCTTTTAACCTTTCTCTGTTTGAGTCAAGTCAATTTAAGTCAAGGTTGTTGAGTCAGGATTGTGTTTGGGTCAAGTCAACTTCTGATCCATTCATATTCGGTTCGGAAAAATTCATATCGGATTGTAAATGGGTTTTACTAGGTTAATTTTCAGGTTAGATGACTTTGGGTCTGGTTGATTCCGATTCGATTAAGTTTGATTATTATGATAAAATTTATTCAATATTGGGTCAATTTCAATTCAGATTTTTTTTTTTTCGAATTTGGCTGAATTTGGTCCGGTTGACTAAATTCAATATTCAAATAAAATCCTTTTTGAATCAGAGTAATTATTATTACACTATTAAGTCACAAACTCACAATCTGTCATTATTCATGTATTATTTATATATTTGTGTGACGCGTATAAAACTTGTTGATACTCTGACCCGTAAGTCCTAATAACTTAGCTTGTTGATATTGATTCATTTTCATTTTTTCCAACTATAGGGAACGAGACCTTGGCATCAAAAACAACCAACGGTTCATTGTCAAGCGCATGGGCATTAATCCAATCACTACAAGGTGAACCTATCATATGTGACCGAACCCATGACAACTATGATTGGTGTTTCCTCAACCGTCCAACCATACTAGACTCTAATTCAACAACATTTTACACCATTGGATCACAACACTCCCAAAATCCAACTACTAAGCCTACAATAATGGAGAAAGTTCGTCCATACCCTAGAAAATGGGAGAATTTCACCATGTCACTAGTAAGTGAAATTACTCTTACAACTTCGTTACTTGATAAACCTTGTGAAATCTACCATGAATCCCCGGCCTTAGTATTCAGTGTTAGTGGTTATACCGGTAACTTCTTCCATGATTTTAACGACGGTATTATACCTCTCTATGTAACCATCAACACCCTTTTCCCTGACCAAGATGTCACTCTTGTTATCGCGGATTTTACCAATTGGTGGTATAGCAAATATGAGGTCTTATTAAGAGCCTTGACAAAACATGGTATTGTGAACCTTGCTAACCAAACATCCACTCATTGCTTCCCCTCAACGGCGGTAGGACTCATATCACATGGTCCGATGACCATACTACCTAATGATCACCCGTACCATAAGTCATCATTTCTCGATTTTCGTTCCTTGCTAGAGATTGCTTATACCAAATGTCATGCTACACCACCACCCCCTTTGAAGGAGGGCAAGCCTAGGCTTGTGTTTATGAGTCGTGCAGGAAAAGTGGGTCGCGTAATCTTGAACCAACACGAAATCATTAAGGCCGCGGAAAAGGCAGGATTTGATGTTGTATTATTTCAACCAACAAAATTTACATATTTGTGTGACGCGTATAGACTCATCAACGGAAGTCATGGGATGATAGGAGTGCATGGTGCTGCCCTAACACACTCACTCTTCCTTCGACCGGGATCGGTGCTCATTCAGATCGTGCCACTTGGCAACGAGTGGTTGGCGGATTCATACTTCAAGAATTTGGCAAATAGTTTGAAATTTGAGTATGTAGAATACATTATAAGGGCTAAGGAGAGTAGCTTGGCTGAGCAATATGGGTTAAATCATAAAATTGTAACAAATCCGAGTTTAATTATTAGAGGAAATTGGTCTGCTTTAGATAGTATATATCTCAAGGGGCAAGATGTTACGTTGGATTTAAATAGGTTTAGGACGTATATAGAAATTGCATATTCAAAAGCTAAGAGGTTTTTAGACAATACAAATTCTTAAATGGACCTGGTTCACACTAATTTATTGTGGACCACTAACATTTGAGAAACTATGTTTGTTTTATTAATAATACTTGTAATAGTATTAAAAAAATCTATTAATTATTTCTAAAACAAAACATGCTGACATCATTAGAGGACACTTGTCAATTTTTTATGAAATTTTTTCCCGCCAAAGCTATTTTTGACATCATTATTTTTTTCTCTATTTATTGTTTCTCCTAAGTTCTAAAACTAAACAATTACAATATTTCTTTCAAAATTAATAAATAAGATTATGATTATATTATTTCGAATAAAGAATATTGACAACTATTTTAAACAAATAAAATCTATTTAAACCGTGCAACGTATGAGATTAATCCAGTAAAATATAGTTAAAAAAAGAATTACGAGTATCATTTTTAGATGAAGAAAAAAATGCATCTGAAATCAAGGCCCAAGGGGCTTTTAATAAGGTGAGTCCACCATGTTGAAAAATGCTCACTTGTGATTCTATAATACTCCGTATAATTATTGTCGCATCATATCTAGCCAATGTGTTGAGATTGTGTGATGATGAAAATTGTATTTTGAAGCAGCTAATTGGAATCATGTCTTGCTGATTACATCCACTCTTTTAAAAAGTTACTTCGTCTCCTCTTTTTCTCACTTTTTACAAAAGTGCAATGCAAAGCAAAGTTAAGAGGGAAAAAAACGATCAAATTGTTGAAAATGAACACAATTGTTGAACACAATTAATCTCAGCGATTGGGGACTAATTTAGACTATAAAGAGTAGTTGAGTACCAATTATTGTCAATAATTTTTCTATTTAATTTGAAATTTGCAAGTAGCATACTAGTATATATTGTAAGTGATAGAGATTATTAGAAGATAATCTTGTCCTAGGATATATTTGTGTGTATAGCTAGGATACATTTTGTGTATATTATATCATTATCATATTTGGTGTAATACTCTATATATTAGATAAATAAAATACTCTTCGGATTAAGAAGTTTTCTCATAATCTAACAATAACTATGTAAAACTCTCAGTGACAATCAATTTAATTTTATGTTGTCATTCTTGTCAAGTTTGATCAATGGCTCAACACCTCAACATAGTAAATGAAGACATCAAAGACGACAACACATGGAAGAGACTTACGTTTTCTCTTTCAATTCTAAGTTGATTGCGCGTAATAGGTTCTTGAGTCATAAATTTGATTGTGTGTTTTTTAAAGTGTAAATTTCTCCATTTCTATTTATGTGATTAACATTTTTTAAATTTGTCATATTACTTCACTTCTACTATATTTGGTAAGATTTTGGTAGACAAATTCTCTAAATAAACATTCGTAAAGTGCATATAGGACAACCTTTGGGGGTAATAAAGTAAATTAAATCATGTACAATAACGACCACAAACTACAATTTCTCTCCTCTCCTTGGATATTATGCCAACGTAGAAATCTGACTCGCTAGGCCAGCCTGATCCAATTCGAAAAAATGATGGATTTAATTTTTTAGTTAAAACCCCGAATCGGCCAATTAAAAGCCTAAAAATCCCGCATTGACCCGAAAACCCGCCCCTTTTGTGGATTTAGACATAAAGTTGATGTTAAGGCCCACTCTAGCCCAAATTTAGACCACCTCTGTGCTAAAGGCTATGGGTCAAGACGTCAAGTTAACACGAGTTGAAACAAATTATGTTAGCTAAATTTTAATATATGTCCATGATTACTTATTCAGGGGCTACTCGAATGGTTAGGGTTTGCTTATGTAGGGGTAAGGCTCTGTTATTTTGAGCTTTTGAGCAAAATTGAGGAGGACAAATTTTAGCAGAACATAGTAGGTATTAGCAGAGCAGCTCAATAGTAACCCCAATATAAATAGCCCTTGACCGGCTGAGCCATTTTAGAAATTCTATCATTTTTCCTTTTTTTAAAATCCGGGATCATGGAATGTGTGCAACAGCTGGGAATGTTTGTCCCCACACTCTCCAGTCCTTAGTGCAACTCTTCTATCTCTCTCTTCAAAACTACAAGTAGCCGGCAAGGCAGAGGCTTCTTCTTCACTTCTCTTTCCACACTCTCACTCTACTTTCTCTCTCTAAGATTCCTGTTCCTCAACCATTTTTAGAGAGAAAGAAACAATGGAGAAAGCACTTACCAAAGTAGGGAGCATTAAGTCTGCAGCAGGAAGCTTCTGGATTACTAAGAAGGCCAAGGAAGAACTCGTTGACATCTCCCAAGAACTCTCTGTTTGTTCCTTCATCTTTCTCTCTTCAATTTTATGTTCTTCAATTATTTAATACCTTTTGCATTTTGTGGGTTAATTACTTGATTATTTGTGCAATTGTGATGCATTTTGTTTTTTTGTTTTGTAAGATCTGTTGTAGATTATGTATGATTATGGAATTAAAGTTTAGTAATTTTTACTGCATTTTATGTAATTATTGCTAATTTTGGTTTAATGTTTGATCTTTGGGAGATGTATATTAAAATTAGGAGAGAAATTGAAAGGAATTTTGTTGCATTTTTTAAAGCAATGTAATGGCTTCTTTCACCGTTGGGGCCAAGTGGGTAAGTGATTCGGGTGGTACCCAAGACCTAGGATCAAATCTCGTCTACATTGTTGCCCTTTGAAGTTCTCAATGCGCTTTAAAAGGTTGAGAATTGAAATTTAACTTTTAAGCAAAATGTCAAAATTGTGTTTGCCCAAAAAACACTGGCAAATTAGAGGAACTTAGTAAGAGTCAGCATTTTGATTAATTTCTACTGATTTCAGTGCATGTTGATCAAACCAATATACTTCAAATACTTAAATTACTCAGTACTCCGTGCATTGTACTATTGTTGACAAAAAACAAACTCTTACAACCTCTATAAGAAGAAAAAAAAGTATACTAAAGGTCTGTTCTCTTCAAATTATTTTCAGTTCAGTTCCAATAAGTTCAGTTCCAATAAGTTCAGTTTAGTTTAGTTCTTAATTTCCTTCTCTCATAAAATATGAAGTTCAGCTCAGTTCAGTCAATTATAACAGGCCCTAGAATAGGCCCTGAGTGATGCCAATTTACCAATTATATGTTGTTTGGTATACACAATAAATTGAACCCCTTGTATCAAATTTGGGATTATGAGGTATCCACGTGATTGGGAAGGGTAACAAAAGGGTGTTGTGGTTACGGGTTACCCTTACAAAATGTAGTGTGTTACTACACCTCTCATACAATTAATTTATCTATTTCCTCCATCTATATTCTCTATGCCAACCATGTTCTGTATTCTGATTTTTTCTCCTCCTTGAAAAATACCCTAAACTCTTTAATTGAAACAATGACAGATTTTGGCTTGATTCTATTCAAGGTAGGACCATGTATATTTTGAAATTTTTATGAAAGCGATTGCCTACCATCTTCTGTTGTAATGACTTGTCATGGTGTTTCAAGCCTGCATAACTGCATAAGATACATGTCCCACAGCAATGAAACAGAAAATGAATGTTTACAACGGGCAAGGTTGTTAATCCTCATGTCTTACATTTCTAAATTTCCACGGCACATTGTAAAATGGCTTTTTTAAGTTATGTTGGTCAACTGTGTCATGGTGTTGTTGATCATTCAAGGTTGATTAGATGAAAGCAAGAGAAACATGAGATTTGTAGTTTGTATCGGTCTGATTGATTAGAACTACAGCTCCTTTCATTAGACGTGACACACATTTATACCACCTCTAAGTGATAAATTTTCATTATCAGTATACCACTCAATGGATATGATAAAAAAAATTATGAAGAACAAGAGATACTTTGGGTGGGGTGAACTTACATTGCATGGGCACAACGCACAAGACTCTCCTTATAGATTTACATACAAATTCATCTCCATCACCACCGTGCATCACCTGCCAGTCTCCTATTAAACTAGACAAAAGGGGAAATTTTAGTAAAATTTATTTTGCTTTGTATGGCTTTTTCTTTTTGATGTCTGTTGTGAATGGTCTAGTTTAGATTCAGCATTTTCATGCTGCTAGCTGATGCTATTTGGAAATTTCGTGTTTCTGCAGACAGTCTCAAATGTAGTAGAAGAGAAGGCAAAATGGTTATTCAACAAATTGAAGGGTAATGCATAAATGCTCTTTGCTCTTGATACAATTTACTCATTGACACTGTTTGATTTATTATCTTATTAATATGGCCTTGCCTTGTTTATGCAGGAAAGCCTTCAAAAAGCTTACCTGAACTTTTGAGAGAGTACAACCTACCAACAGGCCTCTTTCCCGAGAACATAACTTGCTTTGAGTTTGACGAGACAAAAGCAAAGCTAATAGTATACTTACCCCACCCTTGTGAGGTGAGTTTTAAGGACTCAACAGTTATGAGGTATGCTACACGAGTCAAAGCTATCTTGCTGAGAGGCAAGATGATGGGAATTGAGGGAATAAGGACCAAGGTCTTGGTGTGGGTTAAGGTTGCAAGTATGGGTGTTGAAGGCACTAAATCCGACAAAGTATGGATAACCGCTGGAGTGAAGAAATCTAGACCTAGAGATGGTTATGATTCACCTCATTTTGCTCGTAGAGTAGAAGAATTTTAAGCTTGTAGGATCCTTGAAATTTACCCATTGTATGGCCAAGCAAATGATTTTGGTCTATAATTCTCTAATTCTTCAATCCCCACTTTGTACGAAATGTTGGCACTTCACAATATATATAATTTTATGATCTCGTTCTGGATTCATCGTCACAATCTTTTTCTTTTCCCTTTCTTTAAAAATTAAGTTTAGATAAAAATGCAACTACGAGTCTAGGAGACCATCCTCTCGAGAGGAAAATGATCGCATCCTGGATAATATCAGTAAAACTTCAAATTAGAAGCTTGCTGGATGCAATGTAAAAGCATATGCTACTATATCACACAATATATTATATGTGAGCACCATTTAAGGGCAACAAACGAGGTATACTTTTCCATATTACCCCTACTAGCAAGTACTTGTAGTAACAGAAAAATAAATGCAAGTTGCATTACTTGCATACATAAGTTTCCAAGTTTCTCTTTGCAAATATGGTTTCTGCTGAAAAAAAAATTAAATAAGATAGAGCTTAAAAGTAATATAATTTCTTCCAAAATGGCGTACTCTATTAAATTTGTGAATTTTACTGAAACCCGAGCAAATCTTACTAATCCAGCAACAGAGATCTTCTGCATCTAGTTTAGCAGAGAAAATCATAAAATCTCAATTTTCGACTGAAAAACTCTACAAAACTGGCGGTTATAAAGGAGGTTATTAATTTATATGTACAAAATAATTGAATTATATATTAATAAGTAATATTCCTGATTCACTGATATTGCACCAGTGGTAAAACATGTAGGGTTTCCTTCGGTATAGTTGGATACAATAAATAAAGAATCGAGTTAAAACCCATGCAAAATTGCTTGCTGCCAAAAAATTTATCTTCTGCTAGCAGGTCACACAGAACCAGCTGCTGAATCCCGTATAATCTCACAAATTGAAATTACGTTCTCGATACTCAACAAGATGATGATGCACCACTCCAATAGATCTGATCTCCTATTCTGCAGGACTTCTTGAAGAAAATGGATGTTGTGCTGCAATATCCCAGAAAGAAAGCAGAAACTTTTAACAAACAATTCAAAACAATAGTTCTATCAACATGTACCTAGTATGATTGGTTTAACCTGTCAAAAAAGTATGTTTGGTGTTTAACTGTTTAAGTATGATTAATATTTTGTTACCCAGACAAAAAACTGTGACTAATTTTGGGTTTAATACACTGCCTTCTACGTAAATTATATGAAACGCTTGTACCTCAAAACTAATTGTAGCTAGTGCCCACTGTCAAGTGTCCAGAACAAATTATGCTAATTAGTTAACCCAATTGTTTTCCCTGATGAAGTAAACATCATACCTCAACAAATTTCAACTTGATGTCGAGATTTCCAAAACGCTGAGTGACCTCATACTCTTCTCGAAGATACTCATTTATTTCTGCATATTTCGCTTCTCTCCAAGCAATCTCTGATCTGAGAAATAAAAAAACAGGAACAAACATGAATGGCTCCATCAGGTTTAAAAGATTAATACAAAAACGTAAATGTAGGCGACAATCAGTTAGATAGTGTAAATGGAAGCCTCATGACTAAAATCATATCTGAGTGGACAAATCCATGCTATACTTCAATACAATCTTGTCCTAAACAAGCAAAAACTCTACAAAGCTTTCAACAGTGGATACAATGCCTAAAAAAATTTATTCAAGGATTTTAAAAGACAAAGTAATCTTGTACGAGTATTCTATAGTGCTACAAGTCATAAGAATTAGTAGTTTAGTTTTTCTTACAAAGCTAAAAGCAGGTCCTCCTGACAATTCCCTCCTGAGGATTCTTTCAACAAAAATGAGGATTTGAGAATGAGTATTCAATTATATGGGTAATGATTTTCATTAGTGACAAATGGCACATGGCAAGAACGGTGTAGACTATGACCATTGTTTTACAATCTATTCTTCTCTTTGTACCCTTCCTAGTTTCTGTTGAATATAGCTGTACTGTAATGTTCAGCAAATAAGTTTTTGGACTAGTATTTCAGGAACATGATTGCAAGCAATACATTCACATACACCCTCAGTCCAAAAACAGTAGTAACATTACATCATAGCCTCAAACAAGAATTCTGTATAATCCTGATGATACTATCTCTTTTTAGAAAACCAAGTTCAAACTTCGATTTGCCAACCTGTTGGATTTCTACTATCAATTCCATTTCCATAATTGGAACTCAACTGCTGCTTATCTTTTCTTTGATTATAGTAGAAAAGTGCCCAATCAACCCAAAAAGCCACCTATGTTGACTAGAGGCAGTTTTGCAACAAACCCATTCAAATCTACACTTCCCCTCGATGACATAACACAATGCAAGTATTTTGAGCTTCCCTAGTTTACTGATAAAGATAGGCTATCTTATGAAGTAGAGAGTACATTCATTGTTGACTACTCTATAAGGGAAGTTCAGACATCCTAGCAAAATATCCTCCTTCAGATCGAAATTCATTACCATAAAACTCAGAAGAAGTAAGAATCCATGCCCAAGTGAAGCACTAAAATTCTCAAGCCTACTCTAAGTTCTTCCCCTTAAAATTTTGAATCCATCCCATGAAGTTGGAGGGTGATGCTATGAACTTTGTCACAAATGTACCAAACCAAAAGTTTTATTTCCTCACTTCTATTGTAAAGAGTTTCCATTTGACAACGTAGCAACTTAATGTTTTCAGATTTTGTCAAAAATGTTCCCAACCACATGTTAGGCCTTCTAGCTTTCAACTAGCATTGAAATTACTTTGGCAATAATTTAAGTAAAGACAGAAAGCTGAGAGGTTAAAGTCTTTGTCACATATTACTAATATCTTCCACCACCAAACAGTTGTGTGGTCAAACTAGAAGGGTGACGAACAAACTAAATGATTCTAATGGCTCTTCCATTAATTAAACTGTCCAGTCAAAATAAGAAAATTTAATTTTAACCGCTAAAATTGCAGCACACTCATAGCACACCCACAATTTAACGTGTCATACTACATAAGAAAATATTAGTCGAGAATATACCTATCAAAAAGACCAACTTTGAGGATGATATCAGCAAGATTTGAATTTGCTTTGCCAACTAGTTGAAAGAGCTTCTTTCTACGCATTGTAAATGTTCCAGTCTTCTCCATTGCACGATTAATATCTGCAAATTCTTCGACCATATCATCAACCTGAAATATGCAAGAAAAAATCAATATGCTCCTTATTTGAATTCTATAAGAATCTAGGTTAAATCTCACTGAAACAGCAGTGTCTCATAGAAATGACAACATACAAACGGCCAAGTGCATAGTACAAAATGGTTTTTTTTTTTTTTGGGGGGGGGGGGTGTCATTAGAAATATACAGCTGTATGCATAGCAAAGATAGAAGAATCACCTGAGACACATAATAGTCTAAAGCAATGCTTTGACCAAGCACGCTTCCAATAATGCGTATACCATCAGTGTCAAGATGTCTAAGAACTATATAGTCAGCACCACCCTGCATATCTTCAGCAAGTGTTGCCTTCTCCTTTACCATGTAGTCTGCAGAATACAGAAGCCCATTAAAATTAGAGACAAAACCAAAGCATAACAAAAATGCTAAAAGGAAACCTGCACTTTCAATTTCGTGGAACATAGGTTGTAATTATGATAGATTCATCAGTACATATCGTTCATTTGGGATTCTGGGAATAAATCAACATAGCCTATTTCCATTGATATATAACTCAAGGCAAATAGGCATTTATATTCATCTAAGTCATCTGGTCAACTATCTGGAAATCAGAGGCCAAACAATTCCTTTGACTTGAATTGATGGCATGTACTCCATGAAAGATATATAGAGCTGCTATTGACTAGCTGAAATTTATTTTAAAAGAAAGCCAAAACGAAAAATGCTTATAAGTTATAAGCTTTTAATATCTCTTAGAAGGGGGGGGGGGGGGACAATTTCTTTTTCAATGTCATCACCAAAACAGAATTTTCATCATAATCTCAATCAAATCAATGCAAAAATATACAAACAGGTAACAGCGAGAAGAGGGACAATTTTTGTCGACAAATGCAAATAATCCACTCGATCAAAACCTTGAATCTATAATGGGTTCTAACTCTACCACCTCCGTTCATAAAAGGTCTTCCCTTTTTTATTAATAAAGTCTGTTCCTTTGAGATCTTCCCTACTTCACTTTATTCCTTTCATGGCAGGAAAAAAAAAAAAAAAAAAACTCTTCTATCCCCTTTTACCACATGGGTCCACTTAATCTACAATAAACACGTCTTTATAGTAAAAAAATAAATAAAAGGGAAGCACTTTCCACTAACTCCCTTCCAAGGTTTCAATTGCTACAGAGGAGTGCAGCCTATAGCTACAGAGAATTAGTGAAGAACTCAAAGGAACAAAGGGATTATATAATAACTAACAGTTTACCTAAATCAAGCTGAACTAGAAAAGTCTAGAAGTACTAGTTGGGACAATGTCCTCAATCCTCAAATTTTGTTCCCTGAAAGTCATAGATTATGACATCAATTTATCAAAAAGAATAATTATTCTCATTCTCATTGCATGATGGATTGAGGAGATAAAGATCCTAAAGCCTAGGACCCTAGGTACAAAGAGTAGGCATGACGCAAAACTTTTTTTTTGTGGGGTGGGGGGGGAGGGGGATTTGTGCACCTCAATAAAGATCCTAAAGCCTAGGACCCTAGGTACAAAGAGTAGGCATGACGCACAACTTTTTTTTTTGTGTTGGGGGGGGGGGGGGAAATTGTGCACCTCAATACACTTTTTTGCACCTCGATGCACCTCCCATGGTTCCCTTTGAAAACTCCTTGGTTAGCTCAAAATAATATTTCACCCCTATGTCCTCTATCACCATATGCTTTTGTATACACTACAAATAGGCAAGCATTAGAGATAAGCTTGGAGGTATAAATTTTCTAACTTTTGTCAATAGCAAAGACCAAAACTCGCGGGCTTATTATCCAAGGTTAGAATAAATTCATAAGATCACATTTAGCTTCCAAAATGCCACATGTATAAACAGTCTTCACTTTAAGGATTTGTGTTTGAGTCAAAATTAGTACAATTAAAAAACAAAAAATTTAAAAATAGAGTGATATGCTGATATCAGACTTCTCTCAAGCCCTTACAACCAAATGCCCCACTCAATCCTATGTGCACCCTCTATATCTAACCAGTAAAAGATTCAAACTTAAAATTATTCTCAGCTCCAACATCCAATAAAACCACAAATGATTAAGATCCATTCTTAAACAAGACTAGTCACTAGTCCCACTATTTAGTTACACAAACTACAGTTAGGTAGGAAAACTTCATAAGTCTTGGAAAACTTAACCCTCATACCAATAGTTAAGCACTGTAACTTTCCCAAATTAAAATTTCTTTTAGAGATTTGCTGAAATATCAAAGTCATACTCCACAGGACCAAAGATAATATATCATTCGAGATGATTCTACAACTATGAATTTCTCAAGATAAATTACCATCTTTCTTCATTTCTGAAAGCAATCCAGAAGCATGTCTTCGAGCAATGTTCAAGAAGAAATCAACTTCATGATCCTCAACATTGAAGAGGACAGCAGATCCATATTGAAAAACCACCATGTAGCGGTTGCAAATCACATTGTTCTCAACATTCATGCCCTGAATCAAAGGCCAGCATAAATAAACTCATATTTGACAAAGCAATTAGTAACATGACTAAATTTAACTAAGTACAAAGCTATTAACATCAAGACACATTCCATTGTCAAATAATTCCACGGGATCCAGCTGACTTGAGTAATGTGAATATGTTAAATGTAATTTTTCACTAGTGCAAGTCGTCCAACTTACAAATATTTGGATGCTAACAGTATGTTTTGTTTAACATCCTAAATTAAATAGCCAAACTGGGACACCAATAGTTTGCTAACAAGTTCAGCTGACAAAAGAGGTCATTAGAAGCTCAATTCAACATCTGAGCAAATGATAAAATCAGAAATCCTAAGGATACATTGCTTTTTGTTCCTTTGTTTACCATCTTCAGCAAGATGCTAGCTTATTTTATCTCTAACAAGTTCTCTCATTGTATATACAGAAAGGATGAAATAATAAAGGGGACTTCAATCATCTTTGGTTTAGTCAGATATAGAGATGTGACAGATTTAGTTGCATGTGGTTAAGCCCAGTGCAATGAATTGGAATGTAAAAGGCAGTAGAGACAAGATAAATTTATTAGGGTTAATTGCGCTGATATAATGTACAGGATTATATTATTTATTCAGATCAGACCATGATTATTAGTCAGACTTGGAAAAATACAGCTGTGGAGTAGATAACAAAGGAAATCCATCTCCAAACATATATATTAAACGAGGACAGATTCATAAAACAGAAGAATACTCACATGAATTTGTATAAATAGCTCAATTGATCAAGATGTTAAGACCACTAAATACACAAAGTAGAGCATATAGCATGTTACTTGGAACAAACAAAGAAAGAAGCCAGCTCAAGGAAAATGAACCCCCCCCCCCAAAAAAAAAAAAAAATAATAAATAAATAAATAAAAAGGGAGATATTTCATTAATCGACTTACAATCATTTCTGAAGGTACATCAAAAAATCTGAGTGTCACATAATTTGAGGTGCGAGAAGTTGGTGGAACGACATTCCCTGAATTCTCTGCTTGCATGCTCCTCAAATTGATACTGCCAAAACCATGATTCTGAGAGGCTAAATGATAAAAACCACAGAACATAGCAATAAGCCAAGGTGAGCATGAGGAAATCAAGCCCCAAATAGAACACACCAGGGTGAAAGTTAACAAAAAAACAAATGAAGTATTAAAGAGGGATATTGTCTTTTAACAACGAGTAGCACAATTTTCAATAAATAATTCTTCTCCTCTTTAATGGAATTACATCCCAATGCAAACAGCATCTCCTACTCTCTCAAATGATCAGAATTATGGGCGAACTAAAATCAATTATCGCTACTTTGATTACAACAAAAAAATTTGCATCATGTATTCATATTGCTAGTATATATGTTTCCTACATTTATCTCCATTCATAAATTACATTAACCAAAGAAAAGAAATTTTAAGTTGAAATCTATAAGAAACAAGCTGATTAACAAACAATCCTCAATACTCAAATTCAACATGTTATTAAAATTAACAATAGCACTGGTAATGCACCCAACATGATAATGCTAATAAGCAAAATGTCCAACCACAAACTAGTTTCACAATCATTTTACCTTGAGCAAAATCTTCCAAAAAAAAATTTAAAAAAAAAAATCACAGTAAAAATTCGCAGCATCTAATTAAATTAGTCTTATTCTAGATTCAAAACCTACATTAATTACAAAAAAAATCAAAACTTTAAAAGGAAAAAAGAGGGGCAAACCTAGTAGAAAGAAAGAAAGCTTTGACAGGAATCTTAGAAACATCTCCTTCTTCAACCCCATCTGGGTGAGATTGAAAATCTTGATTATCATCTACATAATTCTGGGAAAAATCACGAAATCCATAATCATAATCATGCGCAAGAGCAGCATAAGATGAAGAAGGAGCAGAAGAAAATGGCCTAAAACGCTGAAATAGAAGGGTGTTGGGATCTGAAGAAGAACACAGAAGAGAAAAGCGGATACAGGAGAAAGGGGGAATGGAAGATGGGGCTGATAAGGAGGTTAGGCGGCGGAGGAGACGGTATGCTGCCCATCTCCCCATTCACTATGTTGGTGAATGATAATGGTGCTTTCTTCTTGTTCATCAACTAACCGCTAACCCCCTTTGAGTTGGGTTTTTGGGTGTCAATAATACAGTTCCTATTGTTATACCAGAAATTTCTCAAGGTTTAGGCATTTTGTTTTGTGGGAATATCAGCACTTAAATTGACTTCAGACTTTATAGATGCGACCACTATGGTGTCAATCAAGTAATGAACCCCCTTCCCCACCAAAAAAAAAAATAAATAAAAAAAATAAAAAATCAAGTAATCGCGTTTGTGGGAATATTTAGGCCCTCTTTAGAGATGTTTTGCCCTACTATGCTTTGCCCTGCTTAGCTCAAAAAAAAAATCAAGTAATCGATTTTGTGGGAATATGTAGGCTCTGTTCTTTAGAGTTGTTTTGCTCTCCTATGCTCTGCTCTAACGAAATTTGTTCTGCTCTGTTAAAATCTGTTGTACAGTGTGTGGAAGCCCTGCTCTGCTCTGCTCTGCTCCGCTATGTTAGAAGCTCAAACGAGCAGGGCCTTAGATTATCAAGTGTTTTTAATTGAGAAATCTCAAGTTCTCAACATGAGACGTTTTTCAAAATATATAGGCGTAAAGGGATGCAATTTTTTTGAAAACTTTCAAGAAGCAATTTTGTCATACACTACTACTTGAAGTTTGTGGTTTTGCCTAAAAGTTAACAAATTTAATCACTCATTTTGAGATTTGGGGCGGGCCCTTCAAATTCGATCAATATTCAATAGATGTAAGAAATTGAATAATGTGGTGGATTTTAGAGAGTTTGAACTTGTTGGTTTTATTGGTTTAGCACCTTATTATTCAATAATGATTTGTTTTCTCTCATCTTGTTAATTATGAGTTAGGTTTTTCTTCTTTGTATGGCGCTTTAATTCAATTTGCTCTTTTAAGTAATGATTTGTCTCTCCATAAACAACAATTTGTTTGCTACTTACATTCTCTCTCCTAAGTTTGTCAATATCAAATGTAAGCTGTATCAATTTATTTATCTCCGTGGATCGAAACTATCACAATTTACAAGTATCTAGGTCATGACAATATGTTCTCTCCCAACATATATCTATGTATGAGATTTCATCAAGGGTTGGCATATCCTCTCGTAGTGTTATTGCAATTCCAGTTAATACTAAGTCAAAAATTCACTTAGCGTCTTCTTGTTGACAATCTCACTATATATCATCACATGCATGGTAGTGTTCTTTAGAATTTAACTTTCACAAGGCCTCGTACGCATTGCTTCAATTAACAAGTTTGTGTGTCATGCATGACTCTCCTACACATCATCTTGGTGTCTTTAAAGGCCTTCTAGCTACAATAGATTAAGAATACACTTGAGTATAGAATGCACCTTTTTTCCTCTCCAACCACTAGTCTTCACAGTGGTACCTTTACTACATAATGCACCTTTTTTCTCTCTAGTCACCGGTCTTCACCTTTTCAATACTGAGTATATATTTGTGAGTTTTTTTGGTTATAAGATATTATCTTGTTCTTCAAAATGACAAGCAGCTATATCTTAACCTAGTGCGGAACTATTTAAAAAAAAATAACCCTAGTGCGGAAGTAAATTATTATGGATCGGCTAACGTGGTTGTCATTGGACATGAAATTTACTGCTTAAGCTACCGTAATTATCTTGTCCACTATGTAAGATAATTGTGGGTCCTGCATTGTGACAATATCTGTGTAGTGTATATGTCTCTCAATTTGGTGAAATATATACTCTGTTCTTAATAAAATAGTCACACTTATATATAGAAGTTTACCATGAGCAAAAGTTTTGCTTACTAGTATGCTGACACTCTATCTTCCTTTTTTCGTTATTAAGTGAACAAACATCTCCGGGTGTTGGCCATGCCAATAAATAATTTATCATCAAACTTTAATATACCTACAAATTGGTTTGAGACTTGGGGTGGGTTATAACTTATATCCCAAAAGATGGTTTTTAAAAATGATTGATTAAGAGTTGAGGACATACATTTCTCACAATTTTTTGTATTCAATTCAATACTTCCTCTGTTATATTAATATTGGTTTTTAAAAATGAATGATTAAGAGTTGAGGACATACATTTCTCACAATTTTTTGTATTCAATTCAATACTTCCTCTGTTATATTAATATTGCAACAAGAAGGAAATTACGCATCCCAAAACACATTTTCTATGCTAAATATCTATAATTGTGTAAGAGTAAAAATTATAAAAAGTTGATATTGTGAAAGTATTTTATGAGACGAATCTTATAAGATCCCACATGACTATATTTTGCTTAACGTATAAATCATATTATATGGTCAAACAAGAGTGATGAATAGTGCAAAAAGTCTATTGTTACAATATTAATAGAACGGAGGAAGTATATTGTATCTATGTCTATTTTGCAATAATTGAATTCAAAACCTTGAAGACTGATGAAGGTGATAAAGCTAGTGAATTGAATTAAACCATGTGAACCTTAATGCACAATCTTTCATCTATATTTCCCATTTCATATAATTGGTCAATGTTTGATAATACCAAGGTAAATTGGTTTTCCTAATCGTTTTAGCAACACATGTTGATAATATAATAACTAATAGTAAACCATGGAGTTGTCTTTTCACGTGAATTAAGTTGTTCGGATGTGAATTTGGTTAAGATAAAAGTATGTAATAAATTTTTGATATAAATAATTGAATTCCTCTAATTTGGTCGACCTATCATTTCGACAATCAATGTTTAAAGTAACACGTAGTGAACACGCTCAACAATGTGTTGGTAACACTAATTATTGGGAGGATTTAACCAATCCTATAGTCTCAAGTTTACGAACTAAATCACCAATCAAGCTTAATCGGTGTCGGTAAGGACGGCAATTAATTGATGTTGTTAGGGATGTAACATTGGTCATATTGTTGTTTTTGTAGAGTGTAGACCATACAATAAACTTTCTCCGAATGGTAGGTCTCGTGCTTGTCTACAAGCCCAAAACGCTGTCGTAATAAGCGAAGAAGCCAAAAACCTCTCTTTCTGCAAAGTCTCAGCTTTAACGTTCAACAGGCAAAGCTAGAACAGTGAATGCGCCGTTGAATTTCTGAAGAGAGAGAAAATTAGATGGCGATTTCTGGGAATCTGAGAGTTTTCGCAACACTAGCACCTCATCGAACTAATCATCTTCCTTTTCGTTCCTCCTCGCATTCTTCTTCTAAGGTCATTTCCCCCCTTTTTCCCTCCAATTTTACGCACTTTTTGTTATGTTTCTTGGCAATTTTCTTCGTTATTGATCATTTTTTGCACGGAATTTAGATGGGTTTGTTTTCATTTGTTCCTGTAATTTGCGAATTTTGGTGGGTTTTTGAAATTTTCATGGTTTATTGATCTTATGGGTTTTGCTTGTTATTTGGAAATTGATTAGGGTTTGTATTAGCTTTTGATTTGCATTCTGTATTGAGGCTGTGTTTGTGATTTAGGTATAATTCTGGGTTTTTGAGAATGTTTTGGTAGAAGGTTGAGATTTTGGTATGAAGTAAAGGGAGTTGATTTGAGGGTTTTGTGGGAAAGGAGAATGGAGAGAGGAAACTATACTGATTTATCGATCTTCTTTATGACGATTAGCTATGACAATTTTTGGGTTTTGTTGGTTTCAGTTCATTCGATTGCCTTTGTAGAAGGTGGTGTTGGTGGATGAAGCATTTAGTTTTTGGATAAGTAGCTATTGATGGAATGATAAGCTGCCTAATATGAATGTAAGATAATTATGGCATTTTGGGAAGAATGAACAAGAACACAGAAGTTACCGCGAAAGTATTATACTTGTAAGGTTCATCTCAGATAGGGTTTGTTAGCGAAGGTAAGGAGTACAATGTTGGGAAATATTAGAGGTTCAATCCGGAAGCATTTAGTAAGTGTTGATAAGTTCAATCCGGAATGGACTAATGTTAGAGGTTAGTGGACTTGGATAATTATTCTGGGAGATCTTGATTCCCGGGTAAGAAAACTCAACAAAGGGGTGATATTTGTTTTTTTCTTAGCTGGGCAATGTGGTCAACAGTCTATTGATGAATTTTAGACAGTGTATCATTAATCTTAGAATGTACTCAGAATAATGCTGTAGGTATATGACTTTCAGCTTCTCTTTGCTGTAAGCCAAACATCTGCCATTCTGCCTTGATTTTTCTAACTGTTTTGCTGACTGGTACTTCTCTTGCGTTTTGTTCCCTGAAGAGTTTGCTGATCTATCCTAAATTTTGCCCACTTTTATAGAAAAATGGGTGTGTGAATGAATGACTAGTCCTCTCTTTCTTCTCCTTTCCTTTCATCCCTAATTTAGCTTGTTCCAATTTGAATTAGCCCAATTAGGAAGAGGGCAAGCCTTTGTTTCCAATAAATCTGTAACTTCTCAATGTAAGTGTAGATGATCTATGTTTACTAGGAAAAAATTGTGCAAGTATAAGTTTCATTACTTGTTGCTCTAGGTACTGATTGTAGTGTCTGCTGGGTTGTAGTGATGTATGTCATATCATGTAATGGTAAAATGCTACTATGAAATTAAATCTGTGTTGTTTCTCAGGACTGATAATGAATATTGATACTGTCTAATAAATTGTGAAACCTGGCTTTTGTTGGAGTACTTAAAAAAGAACAAGCCATTTAAAGCTACCAGTCTCAGCAGCTTAATTCGTAATTTTATTCTTTAATGCAGGTAGACATTTCTAGCTTCCCAAGTGGTGGGCTTAGTAATTTTGACTATGCACCGAAAAAGTTGAGAAGTGTGTCTAATGACTTCAATTTTCGCTGCCAGTCCAATCTGACTTTTGGGGTCACTGGAGATGATAAATCATCTGTAAACTCCTTCAGTGAAGATGCTGAGACTTTTTTACTAAATGCTATTAATATGAGCTTCTTCGATCGTTTAAACTTAGCTTGGAAGATAATTTTTACCCCACCAAAAACTAGGAGAAGCTCTAATGCAATGATCGCTAAGCAGCGGTTAAAGATGATCTTGTTTGCTGACCGATGTGCTGTTAGTGATGAGGCTAAACGGAAGATAGTGAAGAGCATTGTCAGTGCGTTGTCAGATTATGTGGAGATTGATTCTCAGGAGAAGGTGCAGCTCGATGTTTCAACTGATTCTGATCTTGGGACTGTGTGTTCTGTGACTGTGCCTGTGAGGCGAGTGAAGCCTGAGTATCAGGAGGACGATGAGTCTGGATCAATAATGAATATTGATTACAAAGACAACGGTGACACGTCAGGTTCTGTTGATGTCAGATTTGATTTCTACCTCCCAAATGAAAACCCAATGACATGAGCACACAGAAGATAGCTCTATAACTAGTTGCTTCATGTATCAGGGATGACAACTTTTGACCCCAATTAGATCTCAAGAACTTGTGGCTTCTGCATTAGGGGTCCATACAGATGGTTTGTCATTTTGATAACTTGCTTTTCTGTAAATATAAGATGTATTCTCCAAATTGGTTGAAAGATTTATTCTTTCTCTTTATTTCTCTTAACCTTTTTGGGCTATCATTTTGGAATGACTCTTTCTAATGGATACTGAGTTTTGTAATTTCCTCGTGATAAGCTGGCAATTGCTTACTAGGTTTAGCAATGTTGTTGATGGTGCGCATAAATGGTTCCACACTGTTTCACTGAACTTAATTGAGAGCAGATAACAGGCTTGCTGTTGGTTGATATCATTCCTCAATCGATGCATAAAGCCTTCTACCAAGGCAGAAGGTGCCCTTTTCTTTGTAATTGGTTGTCTTGTTAGAATTGAGTGATTTTGTAATGTTGCCTTTAATAATTCAACTGAATATTTCCTAACACAAAATGAGGATGGTGTTATTATGGACATACATAGACTACTACATAGAAAGATAAAACCAAATATAACACGAAAATACATTCTACAACTAGACTTTGCATCATAATACAAAGTTTAAGACATATACTAAGGGCCTGTTCTCATTAACTGAGCTGAGTTGAGCTAAACTGAACTGAACTGAACTCAGCTGAACTGAAGTGAAATGAATATTTTATAAGAGAGGGAAATTATGAGCTGAACTGAACTGAATTTCAACGTAAGAAAATAGGCCATAAGCTTACACCAAAATATCCCAACACAATTAAAAGAAACATCGAACTAACTACTAGTACACGGAATAACAGAATGAGTTTTTAAGACCAATTTTCATTGCATAGGTAGGCTATGTCATAATTCACAAAGCGTAAGATGTATTGGATTTGTTGAAGGTAGCTCACGTGCTTTGTCATGGGTAAGCACGTGAGCCGGCACGACATCCCACAAAGCCCATGGGTCATGTCATGCTTGGGCTATAGCCTTACAGTTTTAGGCTCAATCAAAGCCATCTGTAGTGTTATGTAGTAAAATGCCTACGAAGTATTACACAACTTTCATTCAATTTACTATAATAATGTTCACATTGCACCATAGTGACGACAAATACGTCTTTTAATGAATAATTTTAATCAAACTCTATTCATTTTGTTCACGATCAAAATAAACATTATTCATTCACATGAAATAGTGGGAACATCAAATTGTAATCAAATTCTTTTTGCATATTTGACCTAATTTGGTCCTGTATATTTTTCAACACAAAAAAAAGAATAATCAAATTCCAAATTTCCCTTAAAAGGAAAAAGGGTTAGAAAAGTTAAATGCCAAATTGAATTCGTTCTTATCTGCGTAGCGTACTACATCGCCACTTCGCCAGAATCGCCGCACACTCACGCGAATCCCTATTTAAACATACTCTCTCTCATTGCTTTCATTTCACGCTCACCTCTTTCTTCCTTTGCTAGGTTTTCTCCATTTTCTCTCTCCTCCATTTTTGTTTGTTCGAAGAACAAGGAGAAGAACTAGCCATGTCTGACGAAGAACACCAGTTCGAATCCAAGGCTGATTCCGGTGCCTCCAAAACTTTCCCTCAGCAAGCTGGTACTATTCGCAAGGGTGGCTACATCAACATCAAGAATCGCCCTTGCAAGGTAATCCAATAACCCCCTTTTTCTGTTTTTCAATCCGATTTTTTAGGGGTTTCGATTGATTTAACTGTAGCATTAGCATGAAAGATTGAATATTTTGGGTGCGTTTTTTAGGTCGGATTTTAGGGTTTTTGGTGAAGTTGTTTTGTATTAATGAATAATGATATTGACGATTGTTTTCAATACTCTGTTGTTATTGATGTTGTTTGGTTGACTTTTAGTGGATAATGGAATTAACATCAAATTCATTCATTTGACTGCGTTTTTAGCTTACATTTACATTCTAGGGTTTAGTCAGATAACTTTTTTATTGATTAATTTTGATATATATATGAGTTTGTAATGTTGCCGTATACATGAAGTTGCATAAATTAATGGCTAGCAAGATATCCTATGTTGTTGGATGCATTCTTATAGTTATCTGAAAGATTATGTTGGGATGTGTTTCATGAGTAACTTGTGAAAGTATTGAACTTTTGCACATGTAGGAGTACTAAAGTGTGCTATATTAGTTGCTTATTTTGCGATTCGTGGTAAAGTATTACATGAGTGAGGTGAAATGAAGAGTCGGAGTAACATATTCATTGCTGATTGAACAAAATGCTAATGATGTGCCTGTAATCTGTCTTAGTTATCAATAGTTTAAGTTGTAACATCATCTGACCATGTCCATTACTGAAATTTACTTGGCCTATCTTATGCAGATCTGAACTGGGTATCTTCTGATGTTCTTGTAGCTGAACTACTCTGTTTGTGTATTGGAATGGCTAATAGCTAGAAAGTGGATTTTATTTCTGTGCAATTTATTATATTGATACTTTAGTTTTTGGATCGAAAAGTTTAGTTTGTACTGTTGGTTGTGTACATAAGTTTGCTGTCTTGAGATGGTTAAATTAATCTTGAATCAATTTGCCTTACTTTTTCAGTATATTTTTTTTATCTCTAGAGTCTAGACCTTTTTAATGGGCCTTGTCACGCCGTAGTAAATTTATAATAAATTGTTAAGAAAAGTTGTTTTCAGACTGTTTAATGGGCCTTATCATGCTGTAGTAAATTTGTTGATGGTTGCTAGCAAAGATATTCAGATTCTTTTGTTTTGTTGTGTCTTTAGCTGTCTTGTTGGCAAGTGCAGTTTTTGATTCATTGATAGTGAATTCAGTGTAAAAGTTTTACTGTAAATAGCACTTGAAGAAGTCGGATGCTCACGGACATCAATTTTCTCACCACAATTATTGTTTGGATATGGCAGGTTGTTGAAGTTTCCACTTCTAAGACTGGCAAGCACGGGCATGCTAAATGTAACTTTGTTGGTATCGACATCTTCACTGGGAAGAAGCTTGAGGATATTGTTCCTTCCTCCCACAATTGTGATGTATAGTTCTATTTTACTTTCTTTATTTTCATCCCCTGTATCTCCTTCATTTTGCTCTTTCTTTAAACTTAATGGGTCTTATCATTGGTTTGCAGGTTCCCCATGTCTCTCGTACTGATTACCAGCTCCTTGACATAACTGAGGATGGTTTTGTAAGTATAATACAGCAGTTTTTAATGTATTCCGTAGTTCTGTTTGGCTTGAGCCTTCATTTTTTGGTTGTCAATTCTGATGCAAAAGCATTTCAGGTTAGCCTGCTGACTGATAATGGAGACACTAAGGATGACTTGAAGCTCCCAACTGATGAGGCTCTGCATAAACAGGTATGCATACAGTACTTAGTATGCTACTGCTTGTTCAAATTTGATTTATCCCTGCCTTTTGTTTCTCAAAATAAGCCAATGATATATTTTTGTTATAAGCTCTAGTCCTTCATTTTTCAAAAGGTCTGGAGCTTGTGCTCTACATTCATAAATGAATGTCAGTAATGATTCCAATCTTTCTCACTAATGTGTGCATTGTTTGCTGAAATGACAACTTCTAGTTGTCACATAAATTTTTAGTACTCTCATTTTGGCGATTGTTTATGCCCATTGGTATCTATGCAAAATGATCTGAAAAGTTATGTTGAAGTGCCGTGTCTTGTGAATTGATTATGTTTATGTGCATCATATAATGCACAATCATCAGGTTTTTTGGCATGTCTGTAACCCTTATGGACTGCTTTCATGATTTTATGTGTATTACTCTTTTATATTATAGTTCCTTGGAATGGTTAATTATTAATATTGCAATGCTTTTATAGATCACCGAAGGATTTGCCGAGGGTAAAGATATGATTGTGAGTGTGATGAGTGCCATGGGAGAAGAACAAATTTGCGGCCTCAAGGACATCGGACCCAAGTAACTGATTTGTGACGATTCAAGTTGCCTGAAGCAATAGAGCATGAAATATGTGTGGTGTTAGCTTTTCTGAGATATCATGTATTTTGAGTTTATGCTGAAAATGATTTATGTCATGGGGCCTCATACTAGCTCCTATCTTAAGGTTTGGCTCTTTATGTTGACCATTGTTATCAAATTAAGCAAGCTGTTTCAATTTTAAAAATGTATTGATATTTTTTATGCACTGATATGAAACTTGTGCTTTCTATCAATCAATGTTTCTCTTTTGGCTTGAAGCATAGATTAAGCTCTAGGCCCATAAGATGTATGGCCTTCCATGCTTTGGATTTAATGATAAATCTGTTGGACGTTTTAGGAAACTAAGCTTCCTGAAGAAAATAATTACAAATTTGGTTGCGTGGCAAAAGTATTTACAAAAATAAGCTTCTGGGGTAAACCGCTGTCTCGGGCAGCGTTTTACCCTCTATTTTTTTTAAAAAAAAAATCTGCTACAAAAACGCTGCCCCAGGCAGCGTTTTTATAGTTTGACTTTTTTTTTTTCCTCGTTTATTTTTTTAAAAAATTAATTAAAAAAAAAGACAACAGCATAAAACGCTGCCCCAGGCAGCGTCTTATCTTGTTAATGAAACGCTGCCCCAGGCAGCGTTTCTGTCTGGTTGTAAAACCAGAAACTCGAGCTTCGTTTTCAATCACGTTTGCTCTTCATTCCTTCGCCTCCTTCGCAATCCTCTTCCTTCCCTTCCCAAATTTCCTCTTCAATCCTCTTCAACCCAATTTCGTATTACATCCAATTCAAGGTATGGTTAAATATTAGTTGAGTATTTACAAATTGTTCGTTATGTTTGTTGAATTCTTGAATTGTTGGTTAGTGTTGTTGAATTATTGAATTGTTGGATATTGTTGTTGAATTGTTGGTTAGTGTTGTTGAATTCATGAATTGTTGGTTAGTGTTGTTGAATTGTTGGTTAGTGTTGTTGAATTGTTGGTTAGTGTTGTTGAATTATTGGTTATTGTTGAATTTCTTGAATTGTTGAATTTCTAGGGTTTACGTTGAATTTTGGGGGTTTTTGTTGAATTTTGGGGTTTAGGGTTGAGTTGATGAATTGTGATTGTTAAATATTAATTTGGATAATGTAGAATTGTTGGTGTTGAAATATTGAAGATGTTAAGTATTTGAATTTCTAGAATTATTGCTTGTTAATGGTGACCTAGTGATGCTTAGTTGTTCCAAAGTGGTTAGTTGGATGTGATTTAGAGATGGATTAGTGTGTTTTAGTGTAATGTGTTTTGGTTGTTGTGTAGAATATGGCCGCACAGAATGTAGTTTTGTTGTGCCGGTGGGGAGGTGAATTTTTGTTTGACGGACCTCGTGTCGAGTATAATGGTGGAAATATGGAACCACTGACACTTGAACCGAACATGATCTTCAGTGATTTCATGAACGAGGTTCATAGTAGCGTTAGTTCAAACCCGGGGAGTGTTGAACTAAACATTAAAATGAGGTTTGAGACCGGGAATGGGGTTCAAGTGTTACCTGTGTCCTCGAATAAGCATTTGAAAGCTTTAAGGAGCGTTGTAGCGTTGAAGGGTGTTCCCACCGAGATTTATGTGGAGATGGTGCCTATTTGTACCCAACAAAGTACCAGGGCAGAACCACATTCTACATTTATTTTCGGTAACAACACACAGCCGCAAGTGCCCTCACACGACACTCCCCCGGCTGAATATGGGATGGGATCTTTTAGTCGAATGTTGAACGACGATCAATTTCACATGCCATTCAGCTCTCACATAGCTTCACCTGTACATGGGGCGACGTATACAGCAATGGCCGGTCAACCTGGGTCTTCGACATCAAACATCGTCACTTCTTCACCGATGCACCTGCATAGGAATACGCCTGTGCAAAATGATGTTCGAGCTTCGCCGACTGAACTAGTTGCGGTTCATCTTGACACAGTTGTGAATAACGAATTGTCTGTGTATGATGTGTACACAAATGATGAGGCCGAGAGCGGAGAGGAGGCAAACGTACTTCGAAACATGGATGTTGAACTCGGAGACATGGAAGTTGGTGAGCCCTTGGTCAGAACTCCCGTACCTTGGTTCAATGAGATAAATGAGGACTATGAAGTTGATCCGTATTGGACTAATGCAGGCAGTCGTCCATCTTTTGCTCCCGATGGAGAATTTGAGAAGGGCATGTTCTTTGAAAGTAAGAAAATGCTCCTAGAAATGGTGAAGCTGTATTCCATACAAAAGAATCAACTGTACACTACGGTGACATCGAATGAGAGTGTCCTATATTTGCGGTGCAAGAAGAAATGCGGTTGGATGCTACGAGGTACCAAGTCAAGTGCGGACTCTCGGGGCTTTACCTTGATCACGTACAAAGGACCTCATCGGGAGAATTGTGTCACTGAGGTACTATCCGATTGTCATGCACACTTGGATTCGTCTGTAATATCAGAGTACGTGAAGTCCTTTGTGAGGAAAGATCCGACGGTTAAAGTTGAATTCATCCAGGAACTGATATACAAGCAATTTCACTTCAATGTTCCGTACCATAGAGCATGGTACGCTAAGGAGAAAGCTGTAGCAGAGATATTTGGGGATTGGGAGAGTTCTTACGAGAGACTTCCACAATTCATGCAGGCACTCCAACGATCAAACCCGGGTACGTGTGCCGTGTGGAAATACAAAGCCTTGGTGGACGGTGTATACTACAGTAACTTGGAGGTGTTTGAACGAGTGTTCTGGGCATTCGGTCCTTGTATTGACGGTTTTAAACATTGCATGCCTGTGATCTGCATCGATGGGACGCACCTCTACGGGAAGTACAAGGGAACACTGTTGGTGGCTGCAAGTGTGGACGCAAGCTTTCAGGTATTTCCACTAGCATTCGCGGTGGTGGAAGGGGAAAACACTTCTAGCTGGTCTTGGTTTCTGGGTTGCATTCGGGTTCATGTCACGCAAAGAGATGGGTTGTGCATTATATCTGATCGACATCCAGGCATAATTGCAGCAATGAGTGATCCTAACGTTGGATTCACTGAGTCGCGAGCCTGTCATAGGTTTTGTGTTCGCCACATAGCGTCTAACTTGAGGACACACGTGCGAAGCAACGAGATGAGAGATGCGTTCAAGGGTGCGGCTTACCAAAGGCAAGAAAGAAAACTCCACACTGATTTGTGTTTCATCGGTCAGGAGTGTCCCAAGGCCATGGAGTACATTGTTCAAGTCCCTTTCAGTGCCTGGTCTCTCTTTCACGATGCAGGTCGCCGATTTGGGATATGTACTACTAACTTCTCTGAAACTTTTAACAATGTGCTTAAAGGAGCCCGGTTTCTACCGATCATGTCTCTTGTCGAGTTAACTTTCTACAGGGTTAACAAGTACTTCACGCTTAGAAGGGAGTCTTCTGAGACGAGGTATGAACTAGGACTTCCATACCCCCCCAAGGTCACTGCCATTCTTGAGAAGAACACTACAACTGCAAGATATCACAGGGTCGAAGCATATAATCGCCGATTGCATATTTACCAGGTCACAACTGAAAAGGGGGAGCGATTTGGTTGCAAGGGAGGTCATAAGCATACGGTTAACTTTCAACTTCTGACGTGTACGTGCAACAAACCGAAGATATTCCATCTCCCATGTTCTCACGTTCTAGCCGTTTGTGCGACGTACTCATTGTCAGAGCGTCCATGGGTAGACCCTTCGCTTCAATCAAAGGCCTACACCGACACGTATGCAGCCCAATTCTGGTCTATCCCCTGTGAGACAACTTGGGAGCAGTACGTCGGCCCGAAGATCATTGCCGACAGCAGCATGGTTCGTGGGAGAGGGCGACCGAGGTCAAAACGCATACGCAACGAAATGGATGAGACTAACCGGCCACCCACCAGATGCAGCAGATGCCATCAGCAAGGTCACAACATGACAACGTGTCCAGGCAGAACGACGTAGAACATTACTTTTGAGTTGTTATTTGGTTTGCTGTAACAGATAAAACAATAACATTTGCTGTAACAGATAATACTTGTTAAATCATATTTGTGTTTAATCTATACCGTAGTCAGTGAACAGATACCATGGACAGAGAGGTGCATTTGCCCGGACCGCTTGACCCTTCCGTGCTTACACTTCAGGCTGGTTTTGGAGGAATTCACCGGATGGCCTTCAGGGCCATCGACCGAGCGCTTGTGACTGCGCTCGCGGAGAGGTGGAGACAAGAGACCCACTCCTTCCACCTTCCTGTAGGGGAGGCGACTGTGACCCTGCGTGACGTCGCGATACTTACGCGGCTTCCTATACACGGGACTCCAGTGACAGGACGCCCGTTAGTCGATCCTGTAGGACTTGTAGTTCGAGTTCTTGGGGTTCAGCCTGCTCCCGAAGATATCCGGGGAACTGGGTTGAGGATAGGTTGGCTACGAGAGACCTTTGGCGAGCTTCATCACGGTGCTGATGACGCCGCCGTTCAGAGACACGCCCGAGCTTACGTGTTCTTCTTGGTCGCTGGCGTGTTGTTCGGCAACAAGAGCGGCAGCCACCTCCAGCTCCTACACATGCAGTTGTTAGACAACGACTGGGACCATATCCGTTCTTACAACTGGGGTAGTGCTTGTTTGGCGATACTGTATCGCCATCTATGCCGAGCGTCCCACCGTGGTGCAATCGAGATCGGAGGTCCTTTGGTCGTCCTTCAGGTAACTCACCAATTAGTGTAATAGTTTAATAGATGAATAGTAAACACTTACGTTTTAATTCGTGTAACAGTTCTGGTCTTGGGAGCATCTCCACGTCGGGCGGCCAGGTAGGCCAGTCAGGCATCGACCGGGGGAGCTGGATCAAGACGAGCAGTACCAGGCGTACGACGCTCCCCCTCTTCCTACACCTGACGAGGCATACGGATGCAGGTGGGTTGCCCCTAGACTCACACTTTCCCATGCGGCGAGGAGTCTACCGTACTACCGAGACGCCTTCGATCGACTTACTGAGGACCAGGTATTTCTTCACTTGTACTCATTATTCTACTGTCTGATGTGTTTAGCGTTCACTGACGTTTTTTTGATGTGTATGTGCAGGTGACATGGGATCCGTACCTTCCTGAGTTAGTGGAGGCCATGCCTGGTCATTTGCTGGAGCATGAGGCAGAGTGGCGTGCTCGGACCCCGGTGATCTGTTTTGAGGTTGTGGAGAGTCACCTCCCTGACCAGGTCTTGCGGCAATATGGGATACGTGAGCCGGTCCCTCAGCCATGTGACACCAGCACTCGTTTGCACGGGGTTGACCGACGAGGAAAGGCAGAGACGGATTGGTCGGTGGAGCATCGTGCGTACGTAGAGCTCTGGCATCGCCGACTGGAGTTCGTTGTGGGCGGTGTACCGATGCAGGGCGTCCTCCAGCCTCACGATCCGTACATGGTCTGGTACCAGCGGATTACCCGGCGTTTCATCAACCCCAGCTACACACCTCCCTCCACCCATTACCATCCAGCATATGACGTGATTTATGGATATGTGAGTTTCACTTCCAACCGATTAATTTTCATCTCTTTTTAGGTTTCTATGCATAACTGATCAATGATTATTGCAGGCGGCAGACATGGCATCGATGGTTGACGCGCTGTCCCTTAGCCTGGCTGACGGGCCCACCGGGAACGAGGTCCAGCGGGTTCGGGATATGGGCATGGCCAGCTTGCGTCGATATGGACACGACTACCTCGTCCCCCAACGGGACACGTATGATGGCCACTCGATGCATTCGCAGTTCGAGCTCGGACAGAGTAGTTGTGGAGGTGATTTTACGACGCCGACATTCTCAGAGGACTACACCTTCCACAGCACTGCGGCGTCCGGCTCCCAGGAGGTGCCAGATACCAGCCAGCTGACTCCCCCGCCGCCTCTAGACCCATTCACCACCATTACTCATTACAGGCGGCGGCGTGTCAGACAGAGGGCCGAGCAACCTGACCTAGATCAATTGCCCCGGATAGATGAATCAGGATAGTGTTAGCTTAGTTATTTCATGTAGTAAAATTTTTGTATAGATTAGGTATATAACATTTACATTTCTAATATAATAAATGTTTTTCGGTCAACATTTGTGTGTTATGTTCTTTGTTTCCCAATATGTTTTGATTTATGTATATATTGACTTGTCAACGGTGGTGGTGGAAGGTAGTGGTGTGAGGTGGAAGGTTGTTGGAGGTGGTGGTGGTGGAAGGTTGTTGGAGGTGGTGGTGGACGGTTGTTGGAAGGTGGTTGTGGTGGTGGGAGGTCGGGGTGGAAGGTGGTGGACGGCGGTGGAGGAAGGTGGTGGAAGGCGGTGGAAGCCGGTGGAAGGCGGTGGTGGAAGGTGATGGTTGGAGGTGGTGGTGGAAGGCGGTGGAAGGCGGTGGTGGTGGAAGGCGGTGGTGGTGGAAGGTGGAAGGTGATGGAGGTGATGGTTGGAGGTGGTGGAGGGCGGTGGTGGAAAGGGGTTGGAGGTGGTGGAAGGTGGTGGTGGAAGGCGGTGGTGGTGGAGGGCGGTAGTGGAAAGGGGATGGAGGTGGTGGAAGGAGGTTGGGGGTGGTGTTGGAAGGATGTTGAGGGTTGGGGCAAGAAACTGGTTTGGTGCTGCCAACCAGGGGCAGCGTTTTACCTGTAAACATATACAGATAAAACGCTGCCCCAGGCAGCGTCTTATGTTCAAGCATAAGACGCTGCCTGGGGCAGCGTTTTATGCTGTTGCCTTTTTTTTAATTAATTTTTAAAAAAAATAAACGAGGAAAAAAAAAGTCAAACTATAAAAACGTTGCCTGGGGCAGCGTTTTTGTAGCAGAATTTTTTTTTTAAAAAATAGAAAGTAAAACGCTGTCCGAGGCAGCGGTTTACCCCAGAAGCTTATTTTTGTAAATACTTTTTCCACGCAACCATTTTTGTAATTACTTTCGTAACGAAGCTTAGTTTTCTAAAACGTCCAAATCTGTTATCTGAGTACTTTTACTCCAGTCGATGTTTGTTAGGTAATACGTCGAGTTTGTGTCTCAAATTATGGATGAAATTGTTTGTCTACGGTGCTCACTATGCCCCATTAGGATGCAATTGCATTTGTAAAAGAACAAGGCTAAATTGCATTCAATGGCACACATTTTAGCCTAAATACAATTATTGAACTGAACTATTCAGACAATATGACCTAACATAAACTATCACTAAAGATAGTCAATGATATTCCGACCACCCTTGACATTTTTTTTTGCCGTGCATCACTGTTGATATTCAAAGCCAATCTCAGAGTTAATTTTAACCTCACAATCCTCGCATCACTAAATCCTTGTCTATTAATACTCTCCAACCCCTCTTGATATATTTGGGTTTTTTTTTCCCAAGATCAAAGAATGTCTCCCCTCGGTCCTTAATTTTCCCTCTTCCTAATTTAACCACCAAAGGGGCAATGTTATAGTTTTCAAGCACAGATAACTAGTCACCCGTTTTGTAAGTAAGCTTCATTAGTTTCTTATGAAAAAAAAAAAGTTTTTTCAATACAAATCTAACCCTAAAAATCTAAAATACACCAAATCAATCTTGCCTGTCTAAAGAATTTAATAAAATTTTGAGAGTGATTATATCTTTGTAATTACTAAAAATAATGAGATTATGAGAACTTAGTAACCCCAAGTATGAAGAAAAAGAAAGGCAAGCAATAAAATTACCGTGAGAACTCAGTATTGGAAGAAAACTCACAAACCCCGTATTTATGGAGGGTGAATGATTTACTTACAAGCATTCAATTTGAAGGAATGCTCCCTTTAAACTCTCTTTCTCAAAAACTATACAATCTTTCTTAATTTACAGCTTTGAATAATGACTTTCCTAACTTTCGTGTGTCTTTCTTTTAAAATAAATAAATAAAAATACGAAGTACTATCTATCGAACAAGCCTTAGAACTTTATAAGTTAGAAGATATCAATATATTCCTTAATTGCACCCCTTTAACTTTTCCCAATCCAGCATTCACATCAACAGATTGAATTCAGATTTTTTTAATTAGCATAAAATCATTAGTTCAAATATTCAATAAGTGGTCAGCAAAAGCAAATTGTCATTTATAAATTGTTATTTGAATAGGCATTTAACATCTGAAATTATTATATTGGATACACTTATACAGATCATATATAGAAGTGTAAAAAAGGACTTAACTCTCCTATATCCAATCTAACCTAATTCATAGTTTGACTTAAATAAAAAAAAATATTTAAATTAGACCTGGTTCGGCTAGTCTCAACTCTCAATTGAGCTCGAATTTAGTGATCCAAATTAAAAAAATAAAAAAAGGAAAAAGGAAAACTATTGTGATATCTATAGACTACTACTTTTTTTTTTTTTTTTCTAAAAAGCTATAAGGACGGATGATGGGAATCAATTCCAAAATCTCATAAAACCGAAACGAGAGCTCTAACCACCTGTGATGCACGGACACGCCACATAATAGGGGTGTCCGAGTCGACTCGCGTGTCCGACACCGACACGGGTGGGACACGGTACGATACGTCTCGGACACACCAAAATCCGTGTCCAATTTTTTTTTTTAAAAAACGATGCATGGACACGGACCGTGTCACCCCTAGACACGGCCCGTTTGGTAGTGGAAACGCTAATTTTGCATTTTCCTCAAACCCTACTGCTCAATTTCTCATGTCCTCCTGCCTATCTCAAATTCAATCCTCTCTGCTTCTTTCTCTCGTCACTCAAACACCAACAAGGCAACAACTGGAACTTCAGCCTCACCGCAACCTAGATTGTCTCCGACTGCCGTCACTCGTCACCGGCTGACCGCCGCTCGTCACCACTCACACCGGTCGCAGGTGTCATTCTCCGTCCTCTCTTTCTCGAATTTAACGGAAACCCCCTTTAATCTTTCCCGTCGCTCGTCGCCCTCGCTCGTCACCGCCGGTGCTCTCAGTTAATCCTCTCATTCTCGTTTTCATTTAAATTCATCCCTTAATTCTCGAATTTTCTTGTTAGAGTAGATTTTTTGGTGTTATTGAAGAGTTGAAAAAAATTTCAAAGTGTTGTGATGTATGATTGGAGGAAGACACAGAGAGATCGAGAAATGGGAGTTTAAGAGTGAGAAATGATAGATGAGAGGAGAGAGAAAGGAAGAAGAAATAGTGTTTACTTGAGTGTATTTGTGTACTTGTTTGTTTACTTGTTTAGATAGATGAGTACCGAATTTGTTTACTTGTTTTACGGTACTAAATAATTACACTGGTACGGACACTAAATAATTACTTGTTTTAAACAAAATGACTTATTTTGAGTTTAATTACTTAGTGTTTTATTGAATAGGTTGTCAAATTTTCGTTTTTTTAATATATTATATGCCTAGTTATTCGCCGTACCCGTGTCCCCTATTTTAGGATTGCCGTTTTACCGTGTCCGTATCGTACCCGTGTCCGTGTCCGTGTCCGTATCGGTGCAACATAGCTAACCACTTGAGATATTATATTACCCGAGTAGTTTTGGTCGGCTCTATTTGCCATCCTTTTACTCCCACTTGGGGCGCTCCCACTTCATCACTTCTCAGTTCTCACTCGATCTTTTGAGCGGGAATTCAAAAATATAAACAAGGAATTCGTTTCTTCATACTCAGCACTTCAGCAGTAATATATTATTTCTAGGGCAAACAAATTCTTCTATCCTTGATTCCACATTCCCCCTAAATTTTACTCAAATTTTCAGAAACTAAAAATCCCAATTTTGGGAGAAATGAGTGGAAATTGTTTGAATTTCGAAGAACCCATTAAAGATGCAATCACTCGTGTACGATTTGCCCCAGAATCCAACAATCTTCTCATTTCTTCTTGGGATTCTGTAAGTCCTAATTTTTGTTTCTTCACATATTTTTATTCTCAATTTTCTTTTCAATTTAACTCAATTTAATTAATTTTTTCTTCAATTTTTTTTTAGAGTATTAGATTGGTGGATGTGGAAAGCAGTGAGCTTAGATTAGAAGTTCAAACAGAAGCTGCAGTTCTTGATTGCTGTTTTCAGAATGAGTCTGTTGCTTTTTCTGCTGGTTCTGATGGATCCGTTTTCAGGTAGTTTTCTTTTCCCTTAAAAATTGGTTTTGTTGAAATTTGGGCATAAAATTATTCAAAATTTGCTTAATGACATTGTAATTATTATCCAATTTATTACCCACTTCATGGGAGCAGTCGAAATTTACCTAAAAAAGTAAGAAAGGATGAGAATTGAAGGAAAACAATGAGAAAAGGAGAGAATGTAGGAGAGTTAAGGAAAAATTTGGGTGGAATTGTACTCTTAGCATCCCTGATAATGATTTTTGATATGTGAGTTGTGATATTACACCCTAATAAGCTTAAGGCGGTTCGTTTAGGTTGTTTGATAATAATGTGAAAATAAAGTATGGATTTTGATCTAAAATAAGGCTAATCATATTGGCCTACAACATAATACAGGTATTAAAGTGAGACAAGGGGCAAGAAGCTTTGATTCTTGTTCATTGATCATCACTCCCTAAAGATCTTTATTTTTGAATTATAACACTTATAGCGAACACAAGCCTAGAAAATGCATGGAAAGTACTTAAAAAAGGGTTGGAATCTAACACTTGAAATGCAAGGAAGACTTTGGGTGTCTCTCCTGTAATAGGGGTAGTATTGGCTTGCTTATGTTTTTGTTAAATGTGAAGAACAGTAGAACACTATATATGTTAAGTACTAAATACCTGAAGTGTTAGATGGGAAATTGTGTATTCACCCTTGCGTGTATTGATTTAATTTTGGTTGGCTACATAATTCCACCCTTGTTTCTATTGATTTATTTAAGCCAACACCTCTTTTCATGCTATGTTTGAGAATTACATGGTTATTACTTTGCTGCGGCTGGAATTTCTTAGGTATGACTTACACTCTGGAGCCTATGACATCGTTGGAAAACATGAAGATTCAGCAACTTGCATCGAGTATTCTCCTGAAACAGGTGAGTAGTATATGGTAGAGCAATTGATGTGATAAAAAAAGTTTAGGAGGCAAATGCTTTGTGGTATGGTTTTATGATAATTTAGGCGTTATGTGTTAATTTGTAGAACCAAAAAGAATTCATAATTCCTGTCTTAGTCTGCAATTGTTTAATTTTATACTGGTATGTTTTTATGTGGATTTAATGTTGAAATAGCTTAAATGAAAAGTTAATTAATCAGAGTGCTATTTGCCATTACTCTAGATATTGGATATCTTCTTTGTGTCATTGTAATACGCGTGATAAAAATGGTTTATATACTTGGAGCATATATACAAGTACAAAACACTACATCTGTGTAGCTCTTAGACACCTCTTTGCTGTGGTTCTTGTACTGCAGCAAAAGGAGCTCTATAAGTCACCCACACTAACATGTCATTATAACAGAATTTATTACTTTATATAAACGGAAAGTATGCATCCCCAAGAAAATGTGGAAGCAACTCCAAATAGGGTAAACCCATAAGGATTAGAGTATCAGACACAGTAACAAGTAAAAATTATATTAATAAGCATATTTATGAGAGTTATCAATAATATCATATTCCACATTAAACCAGTGATACTAGAATTTAGTAATCTGAAGTCCCAAAACCAATTCCAAAAGACAGTGGTTTGACATAGCTGGATAAAACAACGGAAATCAAACAACAATGAGTAGTGATGGTCACTAATTAATCACTAATTTATAAATTGAGGGCAGTTTTAACATTCTTCAATCCTGGAAATGTAGGATAGTATTTTTTTTTTCTTGCATTAATCAGAGGATCAAGTTATCAAATTATGTATAATTTTATAAAAAACACATTAAAGTGAGCAGCTTAATAAATAGAAAACTCCCTGTACATCTAAAGTCATGCTCTTTACAATATCTCTGCTTCTCTTAAATAATACGAATATTGGATCACTTTGGTCTGTAGTGCCAATTAATTTATGACACCTCATTCTAGCTTATTACAAACTCTTACCTAATCAAATTATTGCCTATAAGCTCATAAACAACTATCTTAACTACACTAACCCTTTCCTTCTCAAGTTCAAGAATTCTCCCCCTTTCCTTTTCTAAACAGCTTGATAGAAAACTCTGGTAAGCAGTTGCACTAGAGTCGGTCAAGTTGATGCAAACATGAAATATTGGTACCTTAAGCACTAAATTCCAAAATCAGAAATAAAATTAGAAGGCAATTTCCTCTTATTCTGCATCAAGCCCACTTGCTGCTCATAATGGGATGATGATGATAGACAACACTGAACTGTACTATTCAAGGATCAATATTTTTTAAATTTTTTTTTTTTTTTTTTTTGTAATTATATATAAATTATATGATCTTGATGCCCTAGATTCCTTAAGTGTTTGTTGCTTTTACTCAACCTCCCCACAACACACATCTCTTAAATTTTATCTAGTGTAGCTAGTATAACACATTAATGCCTTAGCCCTGTTGCATACAGTTTATAGTACTTAAAACTTCTGATATGTGATAGTAAGAAAGGTATTGAGAAGGATAGTAATCCAAATCAGAAAGCAGCTACTTCAGCTCCTGCTAGTAAAGTATGAAACTCGCACAACTGAAGTAACAATTTGCACCAAGTCAACATCTTATCTGATTCAACGTAAGACGTCTTGCCCGAATGAAATAGTATTTATCAATTTTACAAATACATCAACATAAGTAGGAAAAAAGGAGCCATTAGTTGGACTGTGAATCTACCAAAATTAGATTATGATAGCAAAGAAAAGACTCTGCTCCAAATATCAGATATGGATTAGTCTTCCTGCAATTCATTTCAAGGGACCTAGAGAACAGCACTGCCTTAAAATTATGGCACAAGACAAAAAGAATAGTTTGCACCCCCTATTTACAGGTCTTTCCATTTATCAAAGCAATGTGGTACCAAAAGATCTCAATAACACATATGCTATCTCTTCCCCTTTCTTTTACTTTTGTATAAGCAGCAGACCACTCCCTAAAGCAAGGTAATGAGAAAAGACTATGAATGGTCAATCGATTTGTAACTGGAATAACAATGTTTTACTCATCTAAGAGCTTAGTATGAATATAATTAAGCGTAAAGGCCAAATGAATAGGCAATGGTCCCAACAAAGAGTTAAATCATCATAACTAATGGGAAACCAATCATCAAAGGACAAAAGCATAATAAATAGATACGTAGTATTACAAAAAAGGCATATAGCTAGGAGAGCAATAGTTGCAGGACTCTTTAATGTGCTCTATGCCTCTATCTGTCTATCAGTTAACTCAGAACCATAATACATATTTTTCATGAGATTTATATGAAACAAAGAATTATTATGACATCCTTCGGTAAATGGAATTGCGTACAACCTATCCCAGAATACTTACCCAACAAGTTCATACAAAACCCATGCCATTGATCTGGCTTGTCCATCTCTTTTTTGCCTTATCACAACTGGAAGGTTCCAAAATATTGTTATCTGATACTCATCGTCAATCATCTCCATGAACTTTATTGCTGCTTCACCATCAAGTTTTATATGGCAGCTCACCTAACATGTTCGTCCCTCCATGATCTTAAACTTTTATATAGAAATGCCAGACTTGTGATAACACTAATAGAGTTTTAATATCATAAGAAATTGTAGTGAATTGCGCATGTGTGTAATGCTAGATGATGGTAAGAACTTGGTGGCATCTTTGTGGTATTTTGTATTTAATACTTTAACTGAGAGCTGCCCCATATACAGAGTATGAACCTGATACAATTTTTGGACCATCTTTAAAGCTTTAAGTTCTTGTTGTAGGCAGGCTATTAAATGTGTTTTGTATTATGAAGTATGTAGTTTGTGTTCTTCATTGAAGAGTTTTAGAGGCTCGAGTTTCTTGGACATGATACTAAATCAAACAATCTTACAGTCTATAGGTATGAACATGCTTGAGAATTTTGTCTGCTTTGTTGAAGCAATGAGCAATATCAATCTATCATTACTAAATTAGTTCCTTCTTTTAAGTTCTAACGAGCTCTTAAATATTAGTTTCTTATTTCTCTAGGGAAAGTGATAACAGCTGGTTGGGATGGAAATGTAGTCGCATGGGACTCACGCTCAGCAAAGGCTTCACATGCTTTTGTTGGCTCCAATTCACATGTGGAGTCTATATCACTATGCGGATTTGAATTGTTAGCAGCCATTGGTTCTTCGGTGCGTAAATATGACTTGCGGAAACTGAATGGAACAATCCAAGCAGAGGATTTATCAATGAATAAATGGATAAGATGTCTAAGCTCCATGGCATTCCAGAAAGGTATCTTTTGTTTCCTACTTTCCTGTTCTAGGGTCATTTAGTTTTGGCAAAAAATAATAAATCAAAAAAAAAAAAATCCATGCATCTTTTCATTTATTTTTAAAATTAATCTTTCGTTTGAATGAAGGATAATAGTTACCTTGTTGGAATACTATTAAATTGCTTTCAGCCATTCTATCTCTATCTTCTGAATTGTGTGATGAAATCACATATTTACTCTAAACTAAACCCTTGGTTTGTATTTAGGCTTTGCAGTTGGGTCGCTTGATGGTCACGTTACACTACAATCGCATTCAGTAGAGAAGGGGTAATCTACTTGTGTATAAAGCTGGAATTCTTTGCATGAATGTTTGTTACAATATGCAAGATAGGGAGCCATTCTCCTTGTTTTTTTCTTTGTGACTCTTCTTTGATGATGACTGGCCAGTTGAAGATTGGTTAGCATTTAGAGCATTTGCAGCTCTGTCACTCTGTCTAAATGTTAGAAACTGTATGTTAAAAGCTAATGTACCACAAATTAGTGTAAGATCAGATCTGCGGTAGTCGGTAAATAAATATGCCCAATCTGTTTTCAAGTCTCTAACCACCTTATTAAACATAGATGCTATAATCGGTAAAGTTTGATCACATTGGTCAGTTCATTGGAAATTTGGAATACAGTTAGAGTAGCTATTGGAAATCTATTTACAAATAATGCAAGTATATTTATTCTTATACAGTAGATTTCATTGTCAAATTTTCTTTTTAGGAAACATTTTCTGATAAAATGATTTTTCATGGACAACAATTTTCAAAAGAAAACATAATTTTAAAATTAGTTTCCTTACAAAAAAAATTATAAATACAGAAGAGTATAGGAGTGGAACGGAGAAGATGAATGGGAGAGGAGAAAATACTCCCTCCGTCCCGTATTGATTTGATCGTTTATCAAATTTCATGGTAATTAAGAAGAATAGAGGGAGTAGAGAAATATTCTATTGAAAAGATAAAAAGTAAAGAATATTATGGGAAAAATACGAAGTAGAGATTATTGTATGGTAAAGATAAAAAGTAAGTAATGATTTTTTGGGTATATGTGTATTTTGTATGAGAAAGATAAAAAGTAAGTATTTTGTATGGGTATATGTTATATTTAGTAATTTTGGGTATATGTGTATTTTGTATGAGAAAGATAAAAAGTAAGTATTTTGTATGGGTATATGTTATATTTAGTAATTTAGAAACAGAAACATCATTTTGGGACACCCGATTAGGAAAACAGGCACATCAATACGGGACGGAGGGAGAAGCTGTTAGTAGGGAGAAAAAGTTGGTATTACTTTCATTTTAAAAGAAAAATGTTTTCCTGTACTGGGAAAACTATTTTCTACATTCGGGAATGTTTTCCTTTCTTTACAAACCAAACGATAGAAAACGGGAAATTCCTTTTCCTAAGAAAATTTTCTTTCAAAACAAATGGAGCCTAAATATAGCAGAACCCAGAAATTTTTCCATCGATGCTTCTTAGATATTACTAACTAGATGTCATTTGGAAATATAGAATGTTTTTGTCTTTTTGCTTTTTAACATAAGGCTTATATCATAGGTTATATGTCTGCTTTAATGTACTCCCGTAGTAATTATTTAAGTTTTTTTTTTTTTGGTACAATAGATGCATATATGGAGTATAATAAAACAATTAACATTTAATTGCCAGTTAATGTGGTTCTAGTCTGCTCTTATAATCCTTATTCGATCTCTCATTTCATATAGTTGCTGGGCAGTCCAGTCCTTGCTGCCTTTTACCTGTAGCCTTTCAAGTTGCTGAATATTTTGAGTCAGAATTATTCTCATGATTCTTATTGTACTGTGAAATTTTCACAGGTATACGTTTCGGTGTGTTCCAAAATCAACTAAAGGAAAGTATCATCTTGTAGCAGTGAATGATATTGCCTTCAGTCCATCGTATGTATTCTTCCATAGTTGCTTATGTTTTTTTGTTGTTGTTGAAGCTTTTATGAATAATTAGGTGATTTAACAGTCTTCCAGGTGTTTTTGTCACTGGTGATAATGAGGGTCATGTCATTGCATGGGATGGTTCAAACAGGAAGAGATTGTTAGAGGTATATTCTTCTGCTCTTGAAGCGTATAAGTTGTCTCCCTCTCTTTCTCACTCCCCTTTGAGACATATGGATTATGTGCTTTTTTCCAGATAACCACTCGAACGTTTTCATAATCTAAGCAATTTATGTGAATGATTTTTGCAGCTTACAAGATATCCAAATAGTGTGGCTTCGTTATCATATAACCATACAGGGGAGCTTTTGGCAGTTTCTTCAACTTATACATACCAAGAAGCTTATGAAATGTAAGATCTCTGCCCTCCCTCCTTAAAAGTCTTTCCTTGAGTATGTTGTCAACTTATGATCTATATAAGATTCCAAATTTCCAATAACAGTTGTAATGTTGCAAGGAATGGTATAACTGAAATGATGGTAAAATTTTAAATGGTGCTAGTGGCTGATATATCTGTTTGGCTGCTGTAAGTATTGGTTATGTATGATGTGTATATTGCATAAAAAATATTCCCACTGTCCTAAACTTATCTTCACTCGAAATTGGCTCAGAGGTTAATAGTAGTTATATATAGAATTAATAATTGAAATTGGGTAGAGTGAGAAAAGGGTAAGAGAAAGTGTTGGGAAATTTTGAAAACGGTAAATGTGCTGGAGAAATAAATAGGGAAAAAGAGTGGTGAAGATTTTTATTAGGACACTCCAAAATGAAAAGCCTGAAGATGAATTTGGGACGGAGGGCCTGAGGGAGTTTTGCCAATGATATTGCTAAGAAAGTAAGAAGTTTTATTTGGCAAGTTGAGCTTAAGCTTAAGCTCTTAAAAAAAAACAGTTTCTTTTTTGTGGGGTTTTACTTGCATTCTCAGCCATAAACAATGCTAACAAATGCCAGATTCTGCTTTTGTTCTGCTTCTGAACTCCAACTTTTGAATTCTAGAACAATATAAATCTTGTTCTGCTTGTAGTTGTTCATCATTTTTTGTTTTGTTCTTACATTGTTTGCTTGTATTTTCCACTGATACAATTTAGTAAGTTGGATGTGGAGCCTTACTAAAATGATTTACTTTTACCAGGGAAAACCAACCTCAAATATTCATTCAAGAATTGGGTGAAAGTAATCTGAAATCTGCAGCAGTTGGGGGCTCTGCTCGGAGATAGTGGCAAATTCCAAATGGCAATGTAGATTCTTTCTTGATTTAATTAGGTATTGTAATTTCTTATTTAGAATGCAACTCACTCTCTGTTCTGTACTACGATTTACTCAAAGTTGCTTATTACCTAGCTAATTATAAGCTGTATGATTTACAATCAGATTGAAGAATAACACTTCTCTGTTCTTTGCTGGCTTTTTTCCATCTTATTCATTTTCTGCATCTACTAAGGTCTGAGCTTTTCTGACAAGGAAATGAGGCAGATCTAAACAACTATAATCTGTCCGATATCCTATGCTGCAAACATAACTTTCATGCGCTACTCGTTGACTGTGAACCTACACATCTTGCTGAATTTACCCCACAATCTTGCAAGTGGCCAGCTAGGGTCAATTGACTCATCTTGGTTGCCATCCTTTTGTCTTATAACTGTTGACTGCATCTTTTGTCTGATGTTAATGGTTAAAGATTTTCATCTTTTGAAGGGGTTTTGCTGTGAAGGTTGTGCCAGGTTTCATTGTCCATTAAACATCAGTCAATTCTTGCAGTCTTGTTACTTATATGAATTCCCATCTAAGCTGCAAAGTCGACAGGATGAAGAATTGAAGATTCAGCGGAGCTAAATGGCCTTGTTAAAGCTTTGATTGTTTCCACAAGCTGTAATTGAAAGAAATTTCCTCTAGACAAAGCAGATCTAACTAAGCCTTTGACAAGAATTTGTAAAGCAGTCAATTTTTTTAAAAAATTTATTCGTGTTTAATTCCATTTAAATTAAATTGAAAAAAAAAAAAATCTTATTGACCTAGCAAGTCTCATAGTCATTGGTTAATAAGTCCTGCTATACAAAGTATAGATCTAACTATTGAGAGTAGAGGAAAGATAAGAAAATTCTCTTGTTCCCAAGCAAATATACACATATTATTGTAGCACAAATTCTTATATGTGGTTACACCGCACACGAGACAGTCCATTCTCAAAGTCATAATGAGGATTACTTTGTATTGTAGGGGTTAATCAGTGAGTGTTACAGTGGTTATTTCATCAGTGTTATAAAGATTATCTAGTCAGTGTTATAGGGAACATTTAGTGAATCGACTTTTTTTTTACAATGGCGACACGCCGACACTACACCCAAGACCGGTGATTCTCCTACAACTCCTTATAGTCTATGTACAAAGGTTTACGGTAAATGAGAAAATAAAATATCAATTTTTTTATTAAAAAATTTAAAAATCTCCTGAATAAAGTGGCTCTATATCCAATATAAGAGCCACACTCCTCCAGCTTACAATAAACGCCGACGGAGCCCTCTCTTCCCTTATTAAACAAAATTAGGTTTTCTGAAATTTTCTCTCTCTAACGCCATAACCATGTCTGACGAAGAGCACCAGTTCGAGTCCAAGGCCGATGCCGGTGCCTCCAAGACTTTCCCTCAGCAAGCTGGTACCATCCGTAAGAATGGTTACATCGTCATCAAGAATCGTCCTTGCAAGGTTTTTTTCCTCTATTTTCATGCTGTTTTTTTTTTTTATAAAATTTTGTTTTGAAAGACTGAAATTTTGTCATTTCACTTTGTTTTTAGCTTGGATTTTAGGGTTTATGTGAGATCATTTAGCATTGATAACGATTGCTTTCAATTTCTGCTGCGATTCGTTTTTTTTTTTTTTAGAATTTTTGGTCAGATTTCTGTTTCACATGACAGGATTTTTTTTCTTCAGCAAGATGTTATTTTTCATAGAAATCGATTTCTTCGTAGATTATTGTTCAGATCATCAGCTGGATTTTCAATGTTTCTGGTTGCAATTTGATTTGTTTGGAAAATATGATTAGAATGCTACATATTTTCATCCTGTTTTGGGAGAAACAAACATGACGTGAAAAATGTTTGTTATTGTGTGAATTATTCTGTTACTGTAATTTGATGTTGATTTAAGATAAATTATATAGTTTTCGATGAAACTGTCAACTGTGTGTACAGATTTGTGATGCCGGATTGCTGGGTAGCTATTGATAATTTGTTAACACTCTTTTTGATGTGCAGTCCTTTACGAATTACCGAGTATGTTTTATTTTGTTTCCGTAATCCTATCGAATTGGCATTATTAGATTGTGGTTTTTGATGTTTTTTAGTAAAGGTCTTGACTTTCTTGTGTTCCAGTGTCTTTTGTTAGCAAGAGCTGTTGTTATATAACATCAAGGTTAATACTTTTGCTATTAGAAAGTCAGGATGCTTACTGAAATCAAATTACTCATCGCTCATCTTGTTTTGATATTGCAGGTGGTTGAAGTATCCACCTCTAAGACCGGCAAGCACGGCCATGCCAAATGTAACTTTGTTGGTATTGATATTTTCAATGGGAAGAAGCTTGAGGATATTGTTCCATCTTCTCATAATTGTGATGTATGGCCCAGTCCATGTCTTCTTCTTCGTCGTAATGTTCTTTCCTTGAACTAAATGGAATTCACCAATGGTTTGCAGGTTCCCCATGTCACTCGTACTGATTACCAGCTCCTTGATATAACCGAGGATGGTTTTGTGAGTATACTAGTATCTAATGGGATTTTGTTTGGCTTGAACCTTTAATATATGGGTGCCTGTTGTCTAATGCAAGTACTATTTCAGGTGAGCCTGCTGACTGATAGTGGAGACACTAAGGATGACTTGAAGCTGCCAACCGATGAAGCTCTGCTGAAGCAGGTCTGTGTATACTGTATACAGCTATTTGCCTGGGTTTGCATTGTCCTTGTTATTTGTTATTTAAGTGATCCTGTGGTTGTTTACTTTATCAAGCTTTTATCTTTTAATCCTCAACATTTTCACAGTTTTGGGAGCTCATAATGTACTTTCATGAATGGCTATACTGATTCTCATTACAATTAAGCTTCTTTCAACATGTTTAATACTTTGGTAGGCTTGATAGGTTATTTTCCGTAGAAGAGCTGTCATGACAGAGGTTATCATTACATTGTTCTTCTTGCAACTTGCCTAGTGGGTGTCATTGATTTTTTGAACGGCCCGAATTGCCTCTAGCTGCCATTGCAACTTAAGTAACAAGACTCTTTTCTTTGCTTTTATTCTGAAATCTTTGTAATTTACCTTTTCCCTTTTTGGCAACACCACTAGGGTGGTTATGTGTTTTGGGGTGTGAGTCAGTGAACAGTTTGTTGTGGAAATAAGTGGAATGCTTTCATGTGAATTGGACGTATAGTCTTTGTGGCAATGTCCATAACATAACAATGCTGCATGCTTTAAAGTCTATGGTAAGCTCATCATCAGCCTTTCCGACATTGGTGGTAGAATTTATGAGCAATTTTGCCTGTACATATGATCTGATCTTTGTTTTTCCTTTTCATCTAAAATCTTCATGGAATGGTCAGTTGCTAATAACATGCATTGCTCGATGTTTCACAGATCAAGGATGGATTTGCTGAGGGGAAAGACCTGATTGTGAGTGTGCAGTGTGCCATGGGAGAAGAACAGATCTGTGGTCTCAAGGATATTGGACCCAAGTAAATTGACTTCAGATTGGTTCAAGTTATCTAAGGCATTAGGGTGTGGAATGAAATATATTAATATTGATATTGTTAGCTTTACTCAGATTTCATGTGTTTGAGAATATGCTGGTAAAGACTTCTGTCATGGAGCCTCATGTTAGCTCTTCTTTTAACACTCTTTATGTCGACTTTTTATCATCATCAAAATGTTTCTGTTTCCTATTAGATGTATTAGTAATGTGGTACTGGGTTAATCTTATATGAAAGGTTAATCTATATGAAATCTTTTTTAGTTTGTGAATCAAGCTTCCTATGACAAATGGGTGAGTGGAAAGACTAAGTACCTTTGTCACGAACAGGATTGTTCTTGTTGGTTTGAAGTGAATTGAAATCGGAACGTCCCTTATTCTTACTGTTCAGTGACTGAGTCTACTTTGGCATAGTTTGATACAAATCTGTAATCAGAATCATAGGATGATCCTCAGTCTGATGAATCTTGATATACTGCAAAAACTTGGGAAAGAGCTCTCAGACATGCTATGTCTACTTTTGATGGTATAGGAAGATTTGATTTCTGTCGGAATTTTAATTACTTGATCACTTGTGATTTGCAACTTGGGTAGGAATGCATACTTCAGTTGGTAAACTTAAAATAGGGTACAAAGTATATTACAGAGTACAAATTTTGCAGATGTTAAAGTCAGTAAAATCTCTGGTGGATGTTGGTATATTTAGTTGGTGAACTCTTGTGTGGTAGGGCAGGACACGAGCCCTCGGCCCTTGTATGTCAAATTATTGATTAATTGTTGATTTGTAGAGCAGGTGGGAGCAATAAATCGCAGTGCTTGATGGAGTACAACTGTACAAGTGCAGGCGTGCAGCTACTGTAGTTTATCACTTGTAAAAATAGGAACAAAATTATGCAAATTGGTTCTTGGGGGAAGGAAGTTTGTTGATAAAAAGTAGAGGAGTGGAGAAAAACGCGGGCAATTTTATGCCATGTGAGGAAACGAAAGGAATTTGTGGATTGTTAAGTTCTCAAGTCCCAAGTTGTGAATGGAAAGTCATAGAGTATACAACAAAGCTTTAGAGTCTCTTCTGATTTACTGAAAACAAATGAGCCGAACTGAACTGAATAGAGTTGAAATGAATTGTTTATGAGAGAAGGAAATTAGAAACGAAAATGAACTGAAATATAGTATATTAAATCATTCCATCATTAGTACTTTCTTCGTTCTCTTTTTACGGAGAAATTTCAAAATGTGAAAATTTATACATTCACATAATATTGTTTGATCACTTTTGTTAATATATGTGTTGTGCAAAATACAATTACGTGAGATTTGTTAAAATTTATAAAACTACAAGAGATTTGTTAAATTTGTTTAAATTTATACAACTACATGAGATTTGTTAAATTTGTTATTGACATGACCCAAATTCAACCCGACTTGTTATAAATTATAACAAGTCGGGTTGATTTCGGGTAGGATTAAATTCAGGTCAGGTTAGGAACGGGTCGAGTTGAATTCAGGTCAGGTTAGAAACAAGTCGGGTTAAATTCGGATTTTGACGGGTTAAAACGGATTTGGATCAATTTCGGTTCAAGTCGGGTTCGGTACAAGTTAATTAAATTGGCCGTTGTAAACCGGTAAATCGGTGCAAGTTGTAAACTGGTAAATTGGTCGTTTAAAAGCAAATTGAATGGTTCCACACACCCAATTGGACTCCCGAAGGGTATAGGGACCATGGTAAATATTTCGGCAATTTTTATTTCCGGGCGAAAAAAAGTCAAAAAATTCCAAAATTGAAGGCTAATATCCACGCTTTTTGAGAAATGTTGGAGGTTTCGGGCCCGTTGTCGAAAAGTCTTGAAATTCTATAGGATACATCTCGGGGTCATATAATGCCGTTTGGATTCATCTATGATCATTATTTGTTGTCATAAATGTTTGTGATATGCTTGAATTAATAAAATCGATGCAAGTTGTAAACCGGTAAATTGGTCGTTAAAAGGCAAATTGGATGGTTCCCCCACCCAATTGGACTCCCGGAGGGTATTAAGGACCATGGTAAACCTTTCGGCAATTTTTATTTCTGGGTGAAAAAAAATCAAAAAATTTCAAAATAGAAGGCTAATATCTACGCTTTTTGAAAAATTTTGGAGGCTTCGGGGCGCGGTGTAGAAAAGTATTAATATTTTAGGGGATACATCTCGGGGTCATATAATGCTGTTTAGAATCATGTATGATCATTATATGTTGTCATAAATGTTCGTAGTAGGCTTGAGTTTATGAAATCCGTGCAAGTTGTAAACTGGTAATTAAATTGGCCGTTTAAAGATAAATTGGATGGTTCCACCAACCTAATTGGACTCCCGGAGGGTATTAGGGATCATGGTAAATATTTCGGCAATTTTTATTTTCGGGTGAAAAAAAGTCAAAAAGTTCCAAAATTGAAGACTAATATCCACTTTTTTGAGAAATTTTGGAGGTTTCGGGGCCCGGTGTCAAAAAGTCTTGAAATTCTAGGGGATACATCTCGAGGTCATATAATGCTGTTTAGAACCATATATGATCATTATTTTTTGTTATAAATGTTCGTGGTAGGCTTTAATTAATGAAATCGGTGCAAGTTGTAAACCGGTAAATTGGTCGTTTAAAGGCAAATTGGAAGGTTCCACCCACCCAATGAGACTCCCGGACAATATTAGGGAACATGATAAACATTTTGGCAATTTTTATTTTCGGGCGAAAAAAAGTCAAAAATTTCAAAATAGAAGACTAATATCCACGCTTTTTGAGAAATTTTGGAGGATTCAGGGCCCGGTGTCGAAAAGTCTTGAAATTCTAGAGGATACATCTCGGGTCATATAATGCCATTCGGAACCATAAATGATCATTATCTGTTGTCATAAATATTTGTGGTAGGCTTGAGTTGATGAAATCGGTGCAAGTTGTAAACCGGTAAATTGGTCGTTTAATGGCAAATTGGAAGGTTCCACCCACCCAATTGAGACTCCCAGACAATATTAGGGAACATGATAAACATTTCACCAATTTTTATTTCCGGGCGAAGAAAAGTAAAAAAAATTCCAAAATTAAAGGCTAATATCCACGCTTTTTGAGAAATTTTGAAGGTTTCGGGGCCCGGTATCGAAAAGCCTTTAGATTTTAGGGGATGCATCTCGGGGTCATATAATGTCGTTTGGAACCATATATGATCATTATATGTTGTCATAAATATTCGTGGTAGGCTTGAGTTGATGAAATCGGTGCAAGTTTTAAACAAGTAAATAGACCGTTTAAAGGCAAATTGGATGGTTCCACCCACCCAATTGAACTCCCGAAGGGTATTAGGGACCATGGTAAACATTTCACCAATTTTTATTTCCGGGCGAAGAAAAGTAAAAAAATTCCAAAATTAAAGGCTAATATCCATGTTTTTTGAGAAATTTTGAAGGTTTCGGGGCCCGGTATCGAAAAACCTTTAGATTTTAGGGGATGCATCTCGGGGTCATATAATGTCGTTTGGAACCATATATGATCATTATATGTTGTCATAAATGTTCGTGGTAAACTTGAGTTAACGAAATCGATGCAACTTGTAAACCGGTAAATTGGTCGTTTAAAGGCAAATTGGATGGTCCACCCAGCCAATAGGACTCCCGGAGTTTTCGGCAATTTTTATTTTCGGGTGAAAAAAGACAAAAAAAAATCCAGAATTGAAGGCTATTATCCACGCTTTTTTATAAATATTGGAGGTTTCGGGTAAATTGGTCGGGTTTGGGTCGGTAAGAGTGGGTCGAGTCAACTCAGGTCGGGTCAATTCGGATTAATTCCATAACCTATGCGGGTTGGGTTTGGGTTGGGTCATGCTTGAATCGGGTCATATTTATTATCGGGTTTGGGTCGGGTTTAGGTTGGGTTAATAATAGGTCGAGTTACATTTGGGTCGGGTTTAATTCGGGTTTTCACGGGTTAAAACAGGATAATGTAATTCTTGGGTTCGAGTCGGGTTCGGTTCAAGTCAATAATTTGCGGGTTATAATCCGTCGGATCATTTTCAAGTCGGGTCATTCTCGGGTTCTAGTCGGGTTCCTTTCAAGTCAATAATTTGAGGGCTATAATCAGGTTGGGTCATTTCCAAGTCGAGTCATTCTCGAATTCAAGTCGGGTTATGTTCAAGTCAATAATTTACAGTTTACATTCAGGTCGAGTCATTTCCAAGTCATGTCATATTCGAGTTCAACTAACTATAAATAGATTATTATCATTTTTTTCAAGCTAATTATTTCCCTTTACTATAATATTTATGGCAGTATACTAGGGAACCATATATAGTCTATAATTTAGGAAGATAATTATCTCATTTGACCATACAACAAATATATACTATATTTAACTCTTAAAGGATGATGTTCCTTTCTTTTGTTGGCCTGAACCGACTTGGTCTCTCTAGACAAAATGCTTTGATCAACAATAATAAGGTGGTCTAAATTGCATTTAAGGTGATTTGAAATCGGGTCAAGAACAATTTCGGTTGACTTTAGGTCGGGTCAATAACAAGTCGTGTTGATTTCGAGTCGAGTTAGTAACAGATCGGGTTGAATTTTTGGGTCGAGTTAGTAATAGGTATGGTAAAATTTGGGTCGGGTCAATAACAAGTCGGGTTGAATTTGGATAGGTAATAACAAGTCGGGTTGATTTCGGGTCGGGCTTGTAACATGCTGGGTGAAATTCGGGCCGGGTTAGGAACGGGTCGGGTTGAATTTATGTCAAGTTAGTAACAAGTCGGGTTAAATTCGGGTTTTGATTGGTTAAAGCGGGTTTGGGTCAATTTCGGTTCAGGTCAATAATTTATGGGTTATATTCGGGTCGGGTCATCTCCAGGTCAGTTCATGTTCGAGTTCGGGTCTTACATACTCGGGTCAACTCGGGTCTAAGGTTGGTTTCAGGTCGGGTTTAGGTCACCCTTTTTTCGGGTCAGATGAGCCAATTAATAATCGGGTTAGAGTCGGTATTTCGGATCGGGTCAACTTTTGATAGCTCTAACTGGATCATACAACGTACTCTTCTGATCTATCAACGATGTTTGACACAAGCCTTTTAGGAAACTAGACGAATGTGAACATTGCATGTCGATGGGCACTCCTATTTATTGCTTATTTGCTAACAAAGCATAAGCAATTGTCTATATCTTAATGGACATTGATCTATTTGTAATGGAGAAAGTATGGGTGATCATGGCTTATAATGGTAAAGTTAGTCAAGGTGAGCACAATCAAGTTTGAAAAACAAATTTAGAAAGCACTTAGGGTGTGTTTTTCACCTTATTAGAACTGAACTTATCTAAGGGCATGTTCCCATTTAATGAACTGATTGGAGCTGAGTTGAACTGAACTGGTTGAAGCTGA